ATACCCAAAGGTCACATTTGGTTGTGCCTGAAGAGGGCTCACGAGTCATGCCCAAGGGCACATTCAAGCATGCTCATTGTGAGATGTTGAAGAAAGTGGGCTTTCTGATATGTACGTCTATGCTTAGGATAAGATTGCTAGGAGAGAGGCGATCAAAGGATTGACCTTGCAACCGTGTGTGAAGCATGTGGCTGTTTGTAGATCCACATCGAGGGCTGCCAACATGACTTAGGAGGAAGTGGGTGTTTGTTTTGGGTGTTTGCCTTGGGTATTTCTGTCGCTGACGACAAAGGTAGCCAGCCCAGACTTTTCCTTTCAATTTTCCTAAAGAGGGGGTCGTAACCCACGCGTTCATCAGGTTGTCATTTTTTGGATGTTGATTTTGGGGAGGTTTGGTGTGGTATTTTGTTTCCGCTGGAAATAGTAGCCCATCATACGGCTCTCTAACTCTACTTAACTTTTGGATTATATATCCAAAGGGCGTAGCACTCTCCCCGTGAGAGGGGAGAGGGCACAGCAAAAAATTTATAATTTTTTTTAAACCGGCAGGTCGAGCCCTCCGGGTCCATTAACTGTAACTGTGTATGTGTGTCAAAAATGTAAAAGAAAAAGTTTCTTGAAAAATCTAACCATGGTAATTCATGTCATACTCTCTAGCCTAACTTTGTACCAAGTTACTACACATTTTAATTTAGCCAAAAATACATATTATTATGTAGGTTTTCACACATCAGGATTTACAAAATCAATAACACACATTATATATCACGCATGAATATAGATGTTCCATGACTTGAAATGAAGTAATAATCAGCACAACAACAAATCATAGAGACACAAGATATCTCCTTGTGTATGTACTCTCGAACTCACAAACCTTAACTTACTAAATTACATGAGTATATGATGACAATAAAAACCTTAAAACTACATATCTTTACAATCTTTCTTTTAACTAGAATATTAAATTAATAACACAAATCGATATGTCAAATCAGAATAACATCACCGAACAAAAATTCATGAATATCTATCGACACAAAAACTACCGTAATGTTCAAATCAGTTACCTTTAAAACCAACATCTCAAAAATAATAGAATTTTCTATCCACTATCAGCTCAGTCAAAGCATATATTCACAACTGATAAAACTGTACTCAGCTCTTTCCAACTGTATCATTAAAATAATGAGATGCCGCTGAAAATTATTGGCAAGTTGCTGCTTAGAATTTAGGCTGGAAAGAAAAAAAAGGAATGTCTGTCCTCATGCGAAAAGACAAACTAACACATTAATGGAACAAGCGTGTCAATCAGATCCTGCTTCGCTGTACAATTGGTGACGGGCCTGCCAAATATTTCGCCAACATCGCCTATATGTCATTATCTGCCTTGAGGACGGGGAGAAGAAAAACCCACTGGCTTCGCAACTTGCATCACTAGTTTCGCAATGTGGCTATATATTCCTTCAACTAGCACGACAAGTGACCTTCCAGCTCGAGCAAGACTGGCTCATCATCTTTTGTGTCTCATTCTGTTGGCCGTGAAATCATACCGAGTCCATGGGAGGATCCCATCGAGCTGATGTGCAATCTATAAGACGTGGACGGGAAGACATAGTTGTGCTCACGCAGCAAAAGCGAAGCCAACAGAAATAGCAGTTCAGAATCAACATTGCCTCAGCGTCTGTCACTTTCTTTCTGAGAATAGCTTGCAGCTGGATTGCTGCTTGCTATCATTCTGAGGCATCCCAGACCCCGTGGGATTCTGGGAGGCTGTGTGGTGAAGATCTAGATCCGCACGCTAGATCGGTTGTTCTTGTAGAAGATACTTGGTATCTGGACTAGCCTAAAATCATGACGTTTGATAGCAACACATGATCGCTCAGATGAGGTGAAGACAGCTGAGCATGAATAGCTTCGTGAGAAGAGTTTTACTTCCTTGTTCTGCCTCGTACCCAAATCATAGCCTATACTGTACTTCCTCGTTCCTCGGGAGACTGCACCCTTAGGAACGACCTTGATTGTCGGTCGAAATCTTGTGCTTCGAGGGGTTAGGCGGCTACAACAGGTGCACTGTTCGACCGAACGACGAACATATTTGTACGCTGCAGCTTGAGGCAGCTCATGTCTCCTTTCAATTTTTCGCGATGAAATCTTAATCTTTGCTGAAGCGACCACTCGAGGTTTCGTCTCTGCCAAACTCCTAGAATGATTTTGAGATGCGATCTCTTAAATCTGAACCGAAATCTTTATCGATTTAAGATTCACCCTCTCTCTCTCCCTTAGATCTCGCCATCAAGGGATGAGCACATTTACATCTCTCGCTCGCTACATCTTTCTTTCGATTTACGTTCTTAAACCTATTGATGGTCAACTCAGCGACTTCGAATCTAGCGAAGCAAGAGGATGTGTCGATCTTTCTGCACAATCTCTCTGGAAGAATCATACAGACAATGAATATGATTCACAGCCACGATTGAAGATCCTAAGGACCGGATGCGAAGACCCACGAGCTTCGTTCTCCTCGAATGAATAAACAAACAAACTTTTATACCGAACAGAATGCAACCACATTGTCCACCAAAGGCAGGCGCCAATAGCTAGAGCCTCTCCCGATCTCATGACTCATGAGTCATGATACTTATCATTAGTGACTATTGCCTCATTATGCACTAACATGAAGCTGGTTCTCGTTTTCCCTCAATGACTGCAATCATCGTACTGAAACATTCAGGTAACTGGAAACAGCAAAGGGTAAAGCCTCATGTAAAACCTGCACTCACAGGTGTCAGTTGCTTCTTATGGATAGTATATTGAACTCTCTTCTTTGGAACTCTTTTCTGAAATCTGAGGAGTATCATGACATGTTGGGGCCTAGTTCCTTGTTGACCATTGTGTTTCATAACTATTTCGTTTCATGTTTTGCTATATTGCTTAAGTTTGTTTTTCACACTGGAGTGTTAGCTAAACTGTTGTGTGTTGGTGTTGATCATATTCATTTGTTCGATTTATTTTCATTGTCACTGTTTCATCGGAATGAGCAATTTATGATGAAATGAACTGATCCATGGATTTTATAAACAGAGACATATCTGCAGGGGTAACACATGAATCCAGATTTTAAATACTCCAACCATAGTCTGACATATGATAAATCTCAAAGTTTCAATACAAAATCAGAGGACACGAGAATCTAGTAGAACCTGGATGTGTTCGTTAGCTGTTGCCATCGATTTCAGTACTTTATGTCACCTGTGGATGGAAACACTTCCTCAAAGAGATTCATGGCTCTCTGGCGAGGTGTTATGTAGCGGGGGTTCCAAAATCCAAGTTTCAAGAAATTTACTAGAACCTTTCTGGACTATCACATATCATGTGACAGGCATTCGATGCCGCATTTCAAAGAGGTTTGATTCTTCTAAAGTGGATAAAACTCGATGGTTGCTTTTAGTCATACATAGTCCCCTGTAGCTCGAAATCATATCTTGTATTTTTTAGTTTGATGTGATTTGTGAGGTTTAGTGACTGGGACCTCCGCTGCTGCCTTTACATAGTGCATATGAAATCCTTGCTATCACAGAGCTATGTCATAAAGTATAACATATTTTCCGTTCCTCCCTTTTTTTTTTCCCTTTTAAAGTGGATAAAATTCGTTGGTTCCTTAGTCATATATAGTCCCCTATAACTCGAAATCATATTTTGTATTTTTTTGGTTTAATGTGGTTTGTGAGGTTTTGTGACTGAAAACTCCGCTGTTGCCTTTACATAGTGCATTTGAAATTCTTGTTATCATAGAGCTATGTATCTAAAAAATATTACTTTATCGGTTCCTCCCTACATTATTTTCCTTGGACTCTCACGGGTTTGGATGTTCGGGCTGATGAAGTGTCACTTTCGCAGCATACTTTGTTTTTGCAGCGACAAAGTGCGGGAGCTTTGAGCAGGAGAAGACAGAAAAAGGTGCGACGTAGATCTACAGACCTTCGCCATCTCGGAATACAAGATGGTAATGCATGATGACACGTGAACCCGGCCAGGATAAGAGGTGGCATCGACATGTCACTATGATTGATTTGGATTCACTGAACTATAATTCGAACAGTATATAAATATCATTAATATCTCAAACAAAATTCCACCCTATTTTCACTCTCGACCGATCATTCGTTGTGGTGAAATACTGTCTTCGTGTTCTCAGGGTCTTTTATTTTTCACCTCCTACAATAAAGCACCACCAATAATCTTTCCAATACGACTCGTTCTCCGAGCAGTGACAAACTACGTAACCCTCTTACGCACGGAGCCTTTGACGGGAAAACATTTGCCACTACGTTTTCAAAGCATCTTTTGAGAAGAATCGGAATCTCAGCAGACTAGGCCGCCGACGGGACTCTCAGGAGCTGCCTGCTGCCCTCGTTGTCGACGTCACTCTCCTGTGTCGTTGACAAGCGACATAGGGCGATCGTACCGTCACCACACGGTCGCCCTATTCCGGGTCAACCAGGGCTCCCCTCTTCAGCACATCCTTTTTACTGTCCTTGCGACAGTACCTCAAAAAGGCACGCAGCAGTAACTCGCCCGGAGAATTATCACACAATCATCATAAATTCATATATTTAGAGATTTCATATATTTGGTAGATGCAGGGTTATTTTCTTGGATGCGGGTTAATTAGCAAAAAATGATGGATAACTCCACTATATTTATTTATATAAGACAGTAAGTGCATAACTATCATAAGATAAATCATTTATTTATTTACATAAGCCAGTAGATATGACCGAGTAATATGACGAAAGACAATAAATGAATAACCATAATAAATTGCAATATTTATCTAGTAATATAAGACAGTGAATTTGAACCGAGTAATAGAGCAAAAGACAGTACAGTAAGTGGATGTACTCTGTAGTACTGCTTGGAAAGTAACAATCTCAATCAGCTACCTTCATTCAAACGAAAGACCGGAGCAAGAGACAAACGAAACGAGGCGAGGCATTAGATTTAGATTTAGGCCGATCCTCGGCTCAGCGTCTGCTCGCACCAGATAATTAGGAGTGGTTGAGAAGGCTCACAGCTACGAGACTGTGCTGGGGATGCGGCTTGGAGCTTCCAGTAGGGTGTGCAGAAGGTTCGAAGCAGCTCGGGCAGGGGCGGGGGGAGTGGAGAGGCGATCCTTCAGGAGGGGCGGAGGTCGCGGACTTGAGCAGCAGCTCGATGGTCGCCCACGCTGTGTAGCAGGAGATCGAGTAGCTGCTGTCGCTTCAGACCGGAGAGGCTTCGGATCGTAGGCCCTGGAGCTGCTGCTCAAAGGGAGGTTTGCGTGTTCGTCAGTGGGTTCGATTTGGCCGATGATGACGACAGTGGGGGTCGATCGGCCTTCCTCCACCCTGGTGACGAAGCGCGTCGATCGTCCGAGAAGTGATGGCTCGTGCATTGACATCTCGAGCTAATCTGTTGCATGTCGCTGCGGAAGCCTGGAGTCGATGGCCGAGCGAGGCGGGAGCTCGACGAAGGATGTGTATCATCTCACATGGCTTCTCGATGTGCGTTTCTGAGAGGAGGAGGAGGCCGGGGCCGAGGTCACGAACGATGAAGTATTGTACATTCTTAGCGGCGTAGTAGAATCGATAGACGAGGAACCATAGACCAGGAATCGATAGACGAGCCCATAGCCAGTCCAGGAACTGCACGAACAGATACACCATCCATCTCTGGACTCGCAGACCTCACCGAGATTTAGACAGAGCCCCACGACAGCTGCTGCTGCTGCTGCTCCTCCGACTTGGATCCGCTGCACGGATGGCGGGAAGTTATGGCGTCCAGCAGGCCTTGCTCGCTCTCATTCTCTGCAGCTCCTTCCTGCTCGGCGCAAATGCTTTCGACTTTTCACTCGATTCCAGCTCCTTCACCACGGACAACATGATTTTGCTAGGTGGAGCTCACTTGACAGGCTCTGAGAATGGAAGTCTCTCGTTGATCCCCGAGCTGCCCAACAATCCACAACAAGCTTCAGGTGTGGCATACTACCATGCGCCCGTGCGCATGCTGGACCCAAAAACAAATAAAACCGCATCGTTCAGCACCAAATTCACGTTCCATCAGATTCCGGAGAGTTACAACAACAGCGCGACCGACCGTCGAGGGGATGGCATGACCTTCGTTTTTTCTTCGAGCAGTACGTGGGTGGGGGGAGCCGCAGGTCGGCTGGGTATACTTCCCTTGGACCAAGGGAACACGATGGTGAAGCTGTTTCTCGTGGAGTACGACACTTTTCAGAACTCGATAAACCGCGATCCGGCGTTCGATCACGTGGGCGTCGACACCATGAGCGCGGTGTCTGAGGTGCTGGAAGAGGTGCAATCTCTGGGGCTGAATTTCTGGACAGGTGAGCAGGTGTGGTCGTGGATCGAGTACAATGGCACGAGCAAGGTGCTCGAGGTGAGAGTGGCCAACTCGAGCAGCAGGCCGGACAGTGCTCTGCTGCAGTACACGAGAGATCTGGTCGGGGTGGTGAACGAGCAGATGTGGGTCGGATTCTCGGCGGGCACGGGAGATGCGTACAGCTACTACTTCATAGATTCGTGGGAATTTGAGATCTTCGGATTGCCCGCGAAGAAAAAGAGCGTAAGCGTGGGCTTAATCGCGGGCTGCGTGGCCGGGGGCGTGGTGATGCTGGTCATAATTGGACTCGGGGTGTTGTATTGGATTCGGAAGAAGCGCCGGGAAGCGGAGAATGTCCAAGCCATCGAGGATTTCATTCAATTGTCAGGGATGCCGGACCATTTCAGTTACAAGCAGCTGAGTGTGGCGACGAAGTCGTTCAGCGAGACCTCGAAGCTCGGGGAAGGGGGATTCGGAAGCGTGTACAAGGGGATTTTGCCGAGCTCGGGGACAGCGGTGGCTGTGAAGCGAGTGGGGGCGGAATCGAGGCAGGGCGAGAGGGAATTTCTGGCTGAGGTGAGCATCATCAGTCAGCTCAGGCACCGCAATGTGGTGCAGCTGATGGGGTACTGCCGCGACGGGCGCAGGCTGCTGCTCGTGTACGAGTACATGCCCAATGGCAGCCTCGACCGAGCGCTACTGCATCCGAGCTCTCCCGAGCACGTGCTCAGCTGGGAGCGCAGGATGAAGATCCTCTCGGGCTTGGCCTCGGCGCTGCACTACCTGCACGAGGGCTGGAAGCAGCAGGTGATCCATCGCGACGTGAAATCGAGCAATGTCATGCTCGATGACGAGTTCAATGCCAAGCTCGGCGATTTCGGGCTCGCTCGTCTGGTCGACCATTCGAAGCATGCGGAGACGACTATGGTGGCCGGCACCTACGGCTTCATCGCCCCTGAAGCCATCGGCACGGGCAAATTCACAGACAAAACGGATGTGTACGCATTCGGGGCCGTGGTTCTGGAGATCGCCACGGGCAGAAAGGCATTCGATTCTTCCCGTCCCGAGGACGAGATGTCGGTCGTGGATATGGTATGGGATCGTCTTAAGGATGGCAAGCTGATCAGCGTGGTGGATAAGAGATTGGACGGCAAATACGAAGTGGTGGATTTGGAAGTTATGCTTTTGTTGGGCCTGATTTGCTCGCACCCTGATCCCAAAGCTCGCCCGTCCATGCGCCAAGTGGTGCAAGTGCTGGCCGGCGATGCTCCCGTGCCCCCGGTGCCCCTCTGCAAGCCTTCGCTGTCGTTCTCGTCCGGTGGGCTCGCCGTCACGCTGCGCGACCTGGAGAACACGAGGTCGACCTCCTCGGCGTCGGGAACATTCACCGACCGCAGCTCGTCGACGAGCGCTTCATCATTTTTGCCGAATTCCTCCTCCTTCTTCACTCCCAAGCAGGGTCGATAGCTGATCCAAGGTACAGATTTAGATCCAGAGGATTCAATTTTATTACTCCTGTACATAGTGCTTCCTTCGCTCGATAGTCAGTCGTCCAGAGATTCTCATTGTAATTGGCATTCTCAAATCACTCGCAGATCCATAGACAAATCTCAGATTGTTACATTTGTACACTGCCGTGTCCTCTGACCGCGTCTGGCGGATCCGATTTGAAGGCCTTTTCATTGACGGGACTCATTGTCTCGTACCCAAAAAAAAGTCGTCACAAGTCATCATTTTGCTCCCACCACTTACCAAACTCTGTCACGAGTAATTTTTTTGTACGAGCCTTTCAGTCCTCCAAGTCTCTTTAGAATGAAAAATTAACCTGAATCTCTGTCAATTGCACTTCACGCGCGTCCTGGCTACAAGCTTCAGGACCTGGCCAGGCGCCATCAAAAGAAACGAAAGCTTACATTATAAAAGTGTAGAAGACCCTTTCTAGGAATAAACCATTATATTGTGAAGCCTTCTTTATCCTGTGACCTTCGCCGTCTCTGACCCTTGACTAAGAATGTCTTTAGTGTTGTCCATTAGTACTCGGGGTTGGGAATGAAAGGGAAGATGGTTGAAGTGCTAGATGTGTTGACATGCAGCCAAAACTCAACGATACTGCACTTCCAATTCAGCTCAGGATTTCACGAGAGGCCAAATGATGGTACAAATCAGGCGAGGAATTATCGACAAAGGAAGTCACGTGTTTCACTATCTATGTTTTAGGTCATAGGAGTTGTTTGCAGTGGCCGAGCGGTGTAGCAGCCCCAATGGCTGACAGTGAGTCACGAGCTTCTGCGTCCAGTGTTTTCATTATTCGGGCATTAATGTGGGAATCAAATCCCACGACTCACTGCGGTTCGTCTCCCAACCTGGTCAGAGCTGCAGGGCCTGTCAGTCAGGACTGGGACATGACCGACAGCTCAATGGGGACATGACCGACAGCTCAGTGAGAACCAATCCGCTGGAGAGTTGACTTCTTCAACGACACAGTCACCACAATCTGCGCCTATAAACGAAGTCAATGGGTCCGAATCAACGGCCACTTGACTGTTTTCTCTGATCGTGGGAGAACGCGAGGGGTGCTCGCGAAGATTATACAAACAGTGACTAGACTACATTTTATGAAGAGTATATAGGGACGGGTTTGATGACTTCGCTTCAACCAGATGATTATTTTAGGAAGTAAATATCACACTCATATGTTCAATCTTTAAAAGAAGCTAAAGCTAAAAGTTTGGAAAGATGTCACGAGCTATCTTGACAAATATTTCATCATTTCACTGTTTTAAGATGTTTCAAAACATGTACATCTTCATCATTCTTAAATTAAGCCAGTTCAAAATGATGAAAAAACTTCCTACGCAATTTCAATGCGGTTCAGTTTCAATATTTTTGAAAAACTTTGTATGTTCGTTTTTTTGCATTGAACATCAAAAAAACATAACCCTTGGTTTACATTGATTTTATCTTTTGAAGTGATACTTTTCATATTTGTTCCATATATTCACATTGAAATAATAAGGAAAAAATGGCCACGAAACTACTAAAATGAAAAAAAAAATTTGTATATCATTGATATTGAAATATAAGACTCTATAAACAACCCTTCACAATATAAAATATATGTGATGGAATTGTATTTTCAATAATTTGAAATTTATATATCACTAAAATTTCTATAAAATTTTCTATTTTGAGAATATTATTTTAATAAGAATTAATGTATATTTATTTTCTTGAATCTTAGATCAAATTGATAAAGTAAAATATATTTCGTGAAAACTAAATAAGATTTTGGAAGAATCAACCAACTCAATGATTTTTGTCATACAAATCTTATTATATATTTTAGTGATACGCTTAAACGCAGCGGGTAGTATTGCTTGATCTGAGGTGAGTGAGGTGTTGCTCGGAGGAGGAGAGTGGAGAATTTAGGTTCCCTCTAGAAATGTTTCCTGTCTTTTTAGTCAAGGCGCAAAGAGTTCCTAACAGGATTTCAGCCTTCGGACATAAGTTGTAAATTTAATCTTCATTAAACTTGGTGAAAGAACATTCTCACATATTTTGTTAATTATAAAAAATCTCAAATTTGATTACTCTGAAGGTTGAGAAATTTATATAAAAAAATAGGATTCAACACTATAATAGAACATGTGTAGTTCTGAACATTTGAGTTAATTTTTTTTCTATTAGCACAAGAATTTTGGAGTTGGAAAAATAATATAATGTGAGTTACTCTTTATTGGAAAAGTGAAATCGTTGAGTAACATTCTAATTCAGTGAAATTTTTTTACTAACGTTCTAACACTGTTAGCTATCTTAATGACAAATTGTTAAGACATAGTGATGTGAGCTAAAATGCAATAAGTGTTTGGGAATATGCAAATAAATCATGATAGGATTAAAAATATACTTATTTGGAAGTCATGAAAAGATTAAGAATAATCATGAATGTCAAACATGATTTCAAAATCATCAAATGTTTGGAACGTTGTAAATTAGCAAACTTACCTCAAAGATTTTATTATTGCATTTGAATTATCAAATTGTCAGAAGAATATAATTGCATATGGAGATCATAATGTCAGGTTTTTCACCACACAAAAAAGTCTAACCTAGTCATACACACGTCAACACGAAAATGCACATGCACACATGACATAAGTGGTTCAGTAGTGCGGGCTGCGTCCACAGAACATTTCAGATTTTATTGAAATAATGTATCTTCAACTGTTTTCATGAGCTCTCTTATATACTGACCATATAATCAACATTATTAACTAGGTCAAACAACTCGTAACACAAAATTTTCCGCAGTCATTTATGATATACCATAATGAGCAACTTGAAAACGTTTTAAGTTGGAATTATTTCAAGTTTAAATTTATATCTTCAATTCAGAAGAACTATATAAAGCACAAGTTGAAAAGCAGAAAATACCCAATGCTCTTTGGATGTAATTTTTGAAGTACATGGTCTTCTTTCACTGCCACCAACAGAGTGCACATGGTGTCAAAGCAAACGCTCAAAAGGAAGAAACTTCTCTCTACATTTTACACTTTAGGGTACTTCATCCAACATGGAAGTATGGGTAAACTTGATATTGAGAGTTTGATAGTCCCTTGAATTCATATCTGCACATGCATCTACCACCATAATTAAGATCGTCACTCCAGGGATTGCAATACAAGCGCAAGTATGGTTTTTTGCCACTAAATCATCACCAATACAAGCTTTTAATCAACTTGTGGACCTACAAGAGGAATCTATGCACGAAGAGCTTGTAGAAAAACTTTCTCTAATATGACCAATCTGTAAATGGATTCAGACTCATTTGGGATCATTGAAGTTGGATGAATACTACTCTCATCTCTATGATGTTCTTTAACCTCTATTCATTTTCTAATGGATGAAGACTTTCATAACAACCCTTGCGACTAACATCATAGTTGAGCTCACCACACGACTTGGAGTGAATCTATTCATAGATCTCTTGCATTTTACGCCTCACCCAAAAGAAATCTATTAGTGTGAAATAGTTTTTTTCTAACAAAATTTGATGTCAAGCTTTACTTATATATGTAAAGATTTTTCAAAAAATCTTATATATATTGAAACATCCATTCGACTAGTTGCTGTACCACAGAGACAAACGGGAGTGTTGTAAAACGTTTTTTTTTAATCAACACCAGTTTATCAAAATCCTAGGTTCAACCTTCATGTCGTCATGAGCTAGTGTATGTCGATGTACTACAACTCGAGAATTTACAATAAAAATAAAAATATTAGAAGCCTGTGCATCAAGAGCATGAGGCCAAGCGGTCAGGACGAAAATGTCTTGACGCTGGAATCAGGTTCGATACTCTCGGCTGTGATGACATCGCACTGCCCGCCATCCTGCGCGGGCAATGCACACAACCTGTGTGGCAAGAAGTGCAAAATATGAGCCCAATGCCGTGAACTGTCTCCTTGAGACCTCCATTACGGCTGTGATGAAATGCGCAGCCCGCCATCCTGGGCGGGCCTCTCTCCCGAAATGGAAGAGGCAGTGCACATTTGAGCCTATCCTACACCTAACCTGTGATCCTTAGGAGTTGAACAATCCGGCTGTGATGAGATGCGCAGCTCTATCCCGACTTGGGAAAAACAGCGCACATTTGAGCTTGCTTCCAACAGAATATCTTTGGGCACTAATTTTGCTGTGATGTCACCCAAATTTGGGAGATCAGCGCCAACCCTCCAGTTTCTCTTATTTGTACTGAGCATCCACTTTCTAGTTCTAACGTCGGGCTCATCATACGACTTGGAGTGAATCAATTCATAGATCTCTTGCATTTGACCCGTCACCCGAAAAAAGTTATAATTGTGAAATAAATCTCTTCTAACAAAATTTGATGTCAAGCTTTACTTATTTATTTATTTTCGAAAATTCATTCGACTAGTTGCTGTATCACATAGACGAATGGAAATGTTGTAAACATTTATTTAATCAAAATGCAAGTTTATCAAAATCAAAACTACAAATCGACAATTGACTATCAGTCCAGTAAGATTAGCATGTGGTGCAACAAGAGCATGTGGTCAAGCGGTTAGGATGAAAAATTCCCGACGCTGGAGACAGGTTCGATACTCTAGGCTGTGATGACACGCACTGCCCGCCATCTTGTGCGGGCATCACACACGACCCGTGTGATAAGTAGTGCAAAGTATGAGCCAAATGCAGAAATGCTCCCCTCCGGGATCCCTAATATGGCTGTGATGACAAGCGCTGCCCGCCTTCCTGCGCGGGCATGACTTCCAGACTGGGAGATTAGCGCTAATTTGAGCCCATCGGGATTTATGGGATCATTGAGGTTGGATTGATACTCCTTTCATTTCTATGATGTTATTTAATCTATTCATTTTCTAAATGATGAAGACTTTCATGACAAGCCTTGTGATGAACATCATCTCCATTTTCTCTTATTTTCCCTGAGCATCAAGTTTCTGGTTCTAACGTCGAGCTCACCATACGACTTGGAGTGAATCAATTCACAGATCTCTTTTATTCGACGCCTCACCCCCAAAAAAATTATAATTTTAAAATAAATCTCTTCTAACAAGATTTGATGTCAAGCTTTACTTATTTATTTATTTATTTATTTATTTTGGAAAAACCATTCGACTAGTTGCTATACCACATAGACGAATGGGAATGTTGTAAACATTCTTATAATCAAAATGCAAGTTTATTAAAATCCCAGAATCAACCTTCATGTTGTCATGAGCTAGTGAAAGTCATGTACTGCAACTCGAGAATTTACGTTGAGTCCAGAAAAATTAGCTTGTGGTGCAACAAGAGCACGTGGTCAAGCGGTTAGGATGAAAAAGTTCCAACGCTGGAAACGGGTTCGATACTCTAGGCTGTGATGATACGCACTGCCCGCAATCTTGTGCGAGCAACACACACGACCTGTGTGAAAATTAGTGCAAAATAAGAGCCCACTACGGATAATCAGTGTCTCGGGAGCAATAGTTTGGCTGTGATGAAAAGCGCTGCCCGCCAATCCTGTGCGGGCCCTTCTTCTCAAAGTTGGGAACGAAGCGCACATTTGAGCCCATCAGTGTTCTGTGCTCCTGGGGAGTCTAAACCTCGGCTGTGATGACATGCGCTGCCCGCCATCCTGTGCGGACCCTACTCTCTAATTGGGAGATCAGCGCACATTTGAGCCCACTCAGTGTTCTGTGCTCCTGGGGAGTCTAAACCTCGGCTGTGATGGCATGCGCTGCCCGCCATCCTGTGCGGACCCTACTCTCTAATTGGGAGATCAGCGCACATTTGAGCCCACTCAGTGTTCTGTGCTCCTCGAGAGTCTAAACCTCGGCTGTGATGGCATGCGCTGGCCGCCATCCTGTGCGGGCCTTACTCTCTCATTGGGAGATTAGCTCACAATTTGAGCCCACTGCGAGCAATGGTCTGTGCTATGGTGAAGCAAGCAACTGGCTGTGATGACTGGCGCTGCCCGCAATCCTGAGCGGGCCTCTCTCACAAACTACGAGAACAGCGCGCATCTGAGCCTGCTGCGTTCTACTTTCTTTGCTGGCTGGCACCTTGAAGGAACCTAAATATCAACTTACTCGAAAGTATAGGTTTGTATTCGAGAAGAGCTAGTTTTAAGTGCATCCATATGTTTATTTTCGTATGCTTGTTCATATGGCATATACTGATCTTTCATAAGATAAGCCGGTTTGTAGAATGAAAACGCATATAAACCTTATCAGGATCTTCCTTTATAATATTCAATAAAGCGGTCCTGTTCCCGACCATTAATTTTTGCAGGTCCAAGCATGGGCGGCAGAGTGAATATGGCGGCTAGCACGTTCAAACCGAGAGGAAAGAAGCCTTGGAAAGAGCACTTTAGTCTCTTTAAAATGAACATAATCAAACAAGGTTACATTTATCAAGGGAGCAAGGGATAGGAAAAATATGTAATACCCCATACAATTATGAAACTTAAAACAAGATGCTAGATCTTGTAAATATTTCCATGAAAAAAATATTAAATAATATCTGACATATGAAAATCAAAATTCTCATAAATATAATACCATATAATATTTCATCACAAAGATTGATTGTTCTTGTATATATCACTAGTTCATGCTTTTGATAAAATAATGTAAACATGTCTAGTAAAATCATCATTACTAAATATTAATAAATATTCAACACAGTATACTTCTAAAATGATAACTCCTAGCGATCTGATATAGGTTATTATTATTCACAAACTTATTTATACAAGTACAGATTTCTTAGATATTATAGTTACAGAAGTGAAACGATAATGCACCCCAAGGGACCTGAATACATAAATATTTGGTTTTGATCTACATCAACTATAATTGTTCAGTTAGTGACATTCAACGAAGCTTTGTCTACCACTCTACACTGAACTTTTATCGATGTCCGTCTTTATAATGTTATCAAGATCGAAACGAAGACAAGTGTATTTTGCTAAATATTTTGTCCAAGCGTACGCTCGCCGTCTACGAGCATGGCAAAGGAAGAGGAATAATTCCCAAAGGTGCCTGACTTTCGAATTTGTTTGCACTTAACACTGACTCTGTGGTGTTCTCGAGTGTTCATCTTCTCACACGAGTTTTATGCCTTGAAATCATGTCAGACGTTCAAATCCACATGCACACGTTCCAAAAGCTCTGGATTACACAGACCACTGGACGCATAATTGTTTCATGATCGCTTGAGCGTCATATAGCTATGGTCTACGATGTGGAAAGAGTTATAAAATATGAAGTCATATATTCTGAAGTGGTCCACAACTATTTCAGCCGCCAGTCACGTAGCCTTGTTTTGCAGTCTGTCATTCGATCAGGTTCTGCATGCAACACGAGCTCCGTGATGTTGGCACCCGCGGCGAAATGTTATCGGGCTCACGACCATATGATTCGAATGATGTCACGTCAAGCCCCTCCACAAGTTGTTCTTCATCCTCACAGGCCGAATCCAGTTCCTGTGACCAACATTGGTGTCATAATGCCGAGAAAGAGTATACACATCAAATGACGAGCATGGAGGAATGAGGCACCGGAATAGCATCTAAATTCTAGGAGTTGAACAGATTTGTGAGCCAATTAAATGTACACCAATTGGATAAGAAAGATTAGCGGGAAATCACCAGTTACAGTACAGCAAACTCGAGGTGTACAATCTGTCATAAGCGGGGCCACACCGATGCTGAACACCAGCCACAGAGAAGCTATACAGCTCGAGAATGGATTGGCTGAGTTCATGCAATCTGCCCAATTACCTGTGAACATAAGATGGCCATGCAGGGAAGAAGCTGGGGCCACCTATATTTAATGAAATGTTACAGGTTGTATCGTGAGTGTTTGAAGGAATGAACTTTTGAAAATTAAAAAATATACCTAGCAACTGAAACGAACAGTTAGGCAAGATCCATATTGTAACTATAGAATATGGTGTGATTCATTTAATTATGACTTCTTTGATCAATTTTATTTAAATCAGAAAGAAAAAGCAATCATTCTTCATAAACTGAAATAAATTATGGGAAAACAGTTTTTTTCCTTGTAACCTATTAGACTTCATGAAATATATTTTTGTACTTTAAAGTGGCTTTTACCGGCTTGACTATTTTGCATTGGTAAGACTTGGCGAGGAATCCTAAAGCCAAAATTCATATAGGTGGCCAAAATCAATCAAAATATAGTTTGGCTTCTAGAGTTCGAATTGAGCTAACGGCATTTCCATATTCTCCTTGTAATATTTTAGTTTTTCTTTCTAGAAAAAATACAACAAAATTATTTCTTTGTTGATAATAAAAAACGGTAAAGTATCTCAACTTCCAAAAGTTTGGTCAAACTTTCAATCTTTTCTCGAAAGGTCCTGGACAGCAATAAAGGTTCAGTGCTTATAGTTGTGATATTCTTAAGTGCTCTGTGTTATTAATGAGATTCATGACAATGGTAGAATTTATAAAAGTTCTCCAAACCTTTCGTAGTGGTGCAAGTGCAACAGACAGCATAGAACAAATAAAGCACAAACAACTTGTAACTTTGATCTGCTACAGAGTAAAATGAGACTCCAGACTAAATTGAGGAGTACTGTAGTTCACTGTTGCAAAAATCCCGAAGTTTGTAAATGCCAATTAATCTTGCAAGTTTTGGTAAGAAGGTTTAGAAGCCATGACCCTAGCAATATGCGATGCATTCGGCGATGAGCGTCAACAGAGTGAAGTGCCATATGATTACAGCCTCATACATTTCTTATTCCTTTTCGGCACGTTTCCTTCTTAGTGGAATTTTATATTGACAAGACGTCTCTCTTCCTTCTTCTATCTGAGCCTGGACCTTCTCACTTCACTTGAAATACCGTGCCAATTACTGTTTGTACGCTCCGGCAGCTCCCACTACCATGTCTGCCCGATGATCAGTTGGGCTTCTGACAATTAGCAAACTTCTAAGAAGAAAGCATCACCTTTCGTCCGAAAGGAGACAGGCCTGAGGAGGCACGGGTTCGTTGAATTTCCTGCATCGATGGCATCTCTTTCTTCACTGTCTTCTCTAACAGTGGAAGCAGGTTTGCAGTGTGTGGCCAGATATTGCGTAAATGTCAAATTTCGATCCAAAAGCTTGAGTTTTTAAGAGAAAGAGGAATGAGAGAGTGCATATGGGCGCCAATGCAGTCTGTACTTCCGTGCGGCTATTTCAAGACTAGAGAACAATGCGTCACGAACCCACTTTTTTCTATCTTTGTGTCGCCCGTGTCGGTAAAGCTTTGTGTACCGAAGATAAAAAGTTCACCGGTCACACAGCTAAAGTTCGAGCTCATCCCCAAATTTCGTTGGTCCGCTTAAGTTGAAGGATTGAACTAGATGTTGCATGCGGTCAGTACTACCGCTTCAGTATATTTTGCCAAGTTATGAATCAAATGCAACTGATTTCACGCGTATTTCTTCCATATGTTCGACTTCCTTGATGGGCTCACAAGTGCACAAAAGGTATGATGTAACAGAACTAACAAGAACACCATGGACTATTTTTCGGTGTAAGACCATTCTTTTATTCGCGGCCATCATGAGCTTCACTTTGTGGCATCTTTGTAAATAGACTACAGTAGGTCTGATTGCAGACACTGGGACAAGGTCCGGTTACGGACAAGATCAGGTTACAACGAAACTGCGGTATCACGAGGAACCTAAGAATACTAAATCTGCTATATTCAAAATCACACCTGAATTCAGGTGTCGAAGCCGATGTCCACAGAAAACATAAGAACCTAACCTCACATGTTTTGTGGACTCCATGAGCCTCAACTTCTCTATTACGCTACAAACCTACAGCAAGGAAGGAAACTTGAAACAATTGGCAGCGAGTGAGAAAGACGTATTTGAGAGTTGATAGGGAATGAACGAGCGAAAGAATATTTCCGACGTTTTTAAGCTCCTACTTTAGTTGTCGCCAGCGACACCATCTTCCCATCGACCACGAACTTTGAGCTTTTCTCCAACTGTGAACCAAGTAGAGTGTTAAAAAAACATGTCAAACCCCAAGAACCAAAACAATTCGACTGGCCCATGTTGAAGTACAAACCGACCTCTACAGATAATAATGTAAGACGGAAGTAGTACCTTCTGCTTAAGGTGAGCCATTTTGTCCTCTAACGAAGTTTGGGCTTCCTCAGAAAATAAACCGGCGGCGACGACCCGCTTCTGTAGTCGCTTGAAAGATAGTGTTTGTAACGGAGACTGTCATCCACACAGCCGAATCACTTTAGTGATCAGCATAACTTCATAAACAGAGTAAACCAGAAGAGATTTCTTGAACACAATAAACTCCGAACTGCTTTAAAACTTCAACAGAGAAGTCTCCTTTTAAAAAAAGGTGTACCATCCCCTCGAAAGCAATATATAACATAATCAAGCCAAGGGACTTTACAAGCACGAGGAACAAGAGTATCTCAGACCGAGTCGTTCGGGTACCAAATAAAAGATAATGAATGGCGACAAATCAAGAATCCCCAGAGCAGATAACGGTGGCAACTGAATGGTTGATAATGGCTATAACCATGCAGATAAAGAAGAAAAAAAACCGAGGACGGCGCAAAATGTAAGCGGGAGAGAAACGTGAATAGAGAGTAGAGTAACAGAAGAAGTCCAGCTGTGAGAAAACAGTCCTCGGAAACTACGGGAGCTAAGGACGTGCCAGTCCGACGCAAGAAAGGTATCAAGTAACCATCAATAATAATTGAATGCGATACGTCAAATTCTTGTCACATACATTCGCATGCTTCATCAGAGGCAACAGAGGTATATAACCAGATACTGCTTGAGTTTGAAAAGAAATAAGGTGGGTTACCTCAGTAAGGACCTGCTTGCAAAGTTTTCTCCAACTGGGGATAATCTCTAACTTCTCTTCATTGGGCGTTTCGGCTATCAAATGGACAATATCAGATACATCTTTATTCTCAGTATCCGCTTTCTGCTTCTTTGTTGCCTTGATCACCGCCACATTTTCCTGTGCGTCAGCATTGTCTCTATCACACGCACTAACATTACCGTATTTCCTTTTCTTCAAGTTCCCCTCACCATCCTCATCTACACTAGAAGTACCCTGATCCACTTCACTTTCCTCCTCCTCTTCTTCTTCTTCTTCAACCTCGTCCTCATCCTCATCCTCGCTGCTGGAGTCAAATGCCTTCTTCTGGCCCTTCCAGTGAGCACCACCAACCTTCTTAGGTTGATCTCCACGTCCTAATCCTTTCTTACCAGTGGTAGCCTTGTCCTGTATCACATTAACAAGACAGCTTTCGTTAAAAAAATTATAAGTACTACGAGGAAACACCTCTAGACAAGCGCTTCAGTAATCCCACTTATCTTTTACTTCTTTGAAATTATCTAACGAGGACTTACTTGAACGAGGTTGTACAAGTCTTCCTGATCTTGCTCACGGAATGCAGTTCTCATCGACGGATCCCTGCTCGTCGCAGTAGCATTCTCGTCTCCCGTCCTTACTTTCGGGGGATCTCGTTGAGCACCCAGGTGTCCAGCCCGAACAAACCCATACTTGTTACCCCACCAATCGGCTGGCAAGGGTGGCAATGGTATCTCAGCACTCACCTCGGATTCGTTCTCCTTGTTGCTGGAGTCTACATCCTTCTCTGTTTTGCAAATCAAGCCACAAGCACTGGCACTTGAGAAAGACGTCACGCAGGAAACGTCATGCTCACCCAGAGAAGTTCCAAACCACTCCCTCGATAAGAGCTTTTGGAAGTCATCAGCGATACACAGAGGGGAATACAAAGGTATGAGGCTAAAACGATTGCTCGCAACTAAAAGAGGAGGACAACAAGTTTTTCGGACGATCAAAAAGAGGCAGCTGACTTTGCAAACTTCAGGTCACAACCCTGCCACCAAAAAACCAACTAAGAGGCGCACCTTCAATTTTCCTCTTGACGCGTTTCTTCGTGACTTTTTTGGGCTCTGTGATTACTAGTGTATCTTTCTCTGCAGCGGAAACAACACCACTGCCTTTCGCAACGTCTAAACTTGTAAGTTCCTTGGACATTGGATCTGTTGCAGTCTTTCCAACCACGGCACCCTGAAAGAATCCAACAACAACTTTTCAGCAGAGACAGCCATAGATCAGTTCTTCAGCTTCAAGTTGAAATACAACCAGTGCACTTAAATCAACGGCCAAATCATACTCGAGTATCGAAAGCCGACAACGAGGCCCACCATTGGCATGGTGCAAGGTCGTCTTTAATTCTTTGGCATAATGTACTCAACGCTTAATGACTTTTTCGGTGATTGGAAAGCCTTACCAAAATTGCTGCAAGATCGGTTGACGAGTAAGCACCAACCATCTTCCCCTGCTCCCTTTTCTTGTATCTGAAATAGGAAGAAATAATAGATCATGAATAAGCTAACAATGAGCTACAGAAACATCTTCTACTACAAGCAGGTCCAAGTGGAAAAACCTCACAGAATGACAGTGAAACTTAAACACAATCGCAACTCACCTCCCTTGGGGGCGTGCCACCTTCCTGACTTTTGTTTCCTCGACAACTTCATCCTTCTTGGGGTCATCGTTGTCTTCGTCACTACTGCTCGAATCTCCACCATCTGGCGAGAACAAAGATACTCTTAGTATCGGCAATCTTTCTAGTCATGCGCAGGCTTGGAAAGAATTAAGAATGAGCTATAATGATCACATAACGAAACTATAATAAAATCCTCAAAAGCATGGCTTACCCTCGGTTGCTGTTACGGCAACCTGCTGCACATTCCAGTAAAAAAAATTAATTCAGTTGAAAAATTGACAGGGAAACTAAATGGACGACATGTGAAAATGCACGAACTAAAATCATATCCATGTTTCGTCCACGTCTAAAAATGGTACAATGTAAAGATGAAGTGCGTCATCAAGACCCAGCGGCACCTTGAGACCCCAACTGCCCCAGAATGAACTTTCAAGTGACCAAGTGGAAACCCCGTAAATCGTGGCACGACAGACCTAGAAGTCTATCAAACACAAGCTTAGGAACACGACTGTGTAAGACACAGCAGTGACATCGCTGTGGCCTGACTTCAACATCAATTGGAAGGAAGAAATGAATACCACTTTCAAGTTTTTCAATATTGAGTCATAAGCATGAGTATTCAGCGCCCAATTAGCCTGCGCCTTGGCCTTAGCATCAAGACCGATACCTACAGTTTTTCCAAAAAGCAACGAAGCAGAGAACCTTGAGATTACCAAGCGAGTAAATACGTGACGAAACAAATTTTAATATCATAATCTAGCTCTACAGATCGTGATTTCGCAACCAGAACATAATGATCGATCACAGATTTGATTCAACGATGAAGCAGGTATATATGTTTTGCAAGATTACTCCTTACCTGAAGTATCTGATTTCTTCGAGACTCGGATATGAGACTTCATGCCCTGCAGATCCTTTCCAAGTCCATTACCTTCTTCCCAACCCTGATTACAACGATATCATGCCATATATGACGTGTTAGCACCTACCCAACATTTGCAACGTTATAGTAAAACAGAGAACAACATACATTATGCCAATTTCCGACTAGGGTGGTCACGTGATCGTAATAAGACAGGTGTGGGCCAATTCAACAACGTGAACTCAGATTCCCAGGAGAAAAATCTTGCCAACTCGACAAATGTTTACCATTTGTTGCATCAGTCGGAATGCGGCAGACTGTTTCGCCACACCTTGAAACATGACAGACGCCTCGGCCTCCATTTTGCTTCAACGAGGTTTGAATTCGATCGAGACTTGAAATCTGAATCTATACAAGGCCAAAAAGTCCAAATCACAAACCAAAAAGTTTGTAATTCTGCCGTGATAACAAGAATCGAACAAAATCAGTAATCCTTGTCCTGATTACTTCGAAAAAATCGAGATTTCTCTCGCTTTCGGAGCAGAGAGCCTGACGAGGTGTCGAGGCTCATCAATCACCGAGTAAAAAGAATGAGCCCAGAGCCAGCATTAGGGTTTTGCTCTCTCGCACTGTAACGTGGATGTAAGTTAAAAGTAAAATAGTAACTTCCTATGTTGGCTCTTTGGAGAAGAACACCGTAATGGTAACTTCTTCTTTATAGTGCGTTCTTATGATCACCACACAAGCTGCTCTGTAAATGGAGAATTGAATGTATGGAAGGCTGATATGGCAAATCAAAAGATACAAGCAAAATGACAATATTGAACGAATCTATCTTGAAAAGTTGCAAGTTTATGATGTTTAAATTTAAGTTTTTGCAAGACAAAGTATTTGATGAATTAAGAATGGTTCCAAAAATGCAGGCTTTTTTCATGTTCTATCTCATCGTGTATTCAACTTCTTCTTTAGAGAATAAAATAATTTTCAACCAACAAAGTTAAAATCTGGATATAACTAAAATTACTGTTTGGCAAGTAATGAAAATTATTGCAATCATGGGTATATTTATATCAATGCTCAATTGCAAACATATCTTTTATATCAATAGATAAAACAAAAGGTAATATTATAATTGGTTTTTCCAATTAAAACCGTGATTAAACCATGCATTAAGAATTTAAAAATGTGATACTGGATTATGTTTTAAAAAAAAAATTAAATGATTTTTTTATTTTGAAGTAGATGAATCAATATAATTAAGAAATCAACACAATGTTTTTAAAAAATTTAACACAAATGCAATATGTTTGATTTCATTGACCAGTCACAAATACAGATCTAAGCAATTTATCTTTAAAATTAAAATAACGATTTTTCGAAGACTCCAGCTAGGTATTGGATATAAAGTATGTTGATTTGTGTTCTTTTAAATCTTATGAAAAAAAATATGAAAAAAAAACTAAAATGAAGCAATTAAAAAAATTTGAATTCATGTGTTTGAACACAATATAACATTCATACATCATGATTGTAATTGATGTAAAATTTATTAGCATTTTAATTAGGATTATTTTAGTCATGACTGAACTTAATTTTAAAAATCAATTTTAGACATTTGATATAACTCGGAAAAACATTTAAATTAAATTATTATGAGTAAACATCATTATTTATCTTTAGATTTAATACAGAAATGAGATTATTAAGCATGAGTATACTTGATTATATAATAACTATGACTTATACACTATATGTCAAAATTTTATACAGTTTTCATTAGCATCCTTCATGGCATGCCATCATTTCAATATAAACACAAAATAGCTTTAAAGACATCTATGATGTCATGTTGCCATATGTATTTTTATAACGAATGTTCATGACTACAAAAAATCAATTTATTAAATAAAGTTATTAAATTTATTAAATTTAATTACTATAAAAAGTTATTATTGTGACACTAACATAACATAAATATAAGTGAATATTGATATCTTCTAAAAAATATTGTTGTCAATATCTTTGTTGATTACATTTATTTCATCAATAAACATTTTATCTTAAAATTTATGTTGAATTCTCATTAAAAATGAAATAAACAATGAGTAAACAATTTTAAAAGAATATATTTTTTGAACAAAATGTAAAAATAAAAATTTAAATTTAAATTTAAATAAGAAAAGAATCTATCAATCTCATTTTAAAAATAATTATAAATATCTTTTTTATTAATATAAAAAAATAGCTTTTATGAATTATTTATGAATTTATTCATGGTGATCATTTAAATGATAGATTTGCTTGTTGTTATTATGCATGCTTTCATCAAAAATAAAAAAAATAATCCAAGTTTGCCCTATCATTATGTGCTAGTCAATTTTGTTTGTCAGCATGTTTTTTTTTCTACATATTACGTTAGATTCAAATTCATTCAAAAGCATTATATGAAGCAAAAGTGACACATTGTACTAGTTTCAGATTTTTTTAAAATTAAACATTTCGTGCTACAAACATTTCCTTTTTTGAGTATCATTAAGAAAATATAACATTGATTGCAATTTTGATGATTGTGTAACTTCAAACATAGTAAAACTTTTAAAATGAAAATTTTAGTTTTATCTCAAGAAATCAAGCATTTTTTATCATTTGATAATAATAAATAAATTAATTAATAATCATGTGTGATGTAAAAGAATGAGAAAATATTTAAATCTAATACTATTTTATAAAATTCGATTTATTTAATTCTCTAATTAATAACACACAAAATATGTGATAAATTTACTGAGTATGTTGTTACATTTAAATGGTTGATTTAGTGTAATCGCATAACATGAGACTTATCCTGGAAAATTATTTTGAATAAATAATTTTTTATCAAGTTATAAAAATTTTGAAAAATGTTGTACATTTCACTATAAATATTTGTCACAAATGAAAAATTAAACTGATATTCAAAGTAATTTGCAGTAAAAGTTTTATCATATATATCTTTGTATTTTGTCCAAGTGATGGTAGCAAAACTAAAAGAATAAATTTTGAAAATTTATCTGCATAAATATACGAACAAAATTTTAATCAATAAACAAAAAAATATCTGTAATTTTCTTATTATTTCAACATGCAAATCCATTATTGCATTTAGCATTATCTATTTTCTATAATCTTTAATCTACAAGATTTCAAATATTTTTTATCTCTATCAAAGTTTTTATTATCAATCAATTTTGAATCATTTTTCTAATTTAAAATTGTTGCATTAGATGAAATAGTAAGTTTTAACCAAATTTTAACTAATTATGATCAATCATCTTGATGTTCATCATTGCATCAAGCAATGAAAGAGTAAAATATATTCCAAAACAAATATTTTCAATGTGTCCATTCAACCTTTATCTTTCCAAATTGACCTAGAATGGTACTAGCTCTTATTTGGAGATGTTAATTCACAAACATAAAGTTTTTTATATTTTCATTTTTCTTTATTTTAAATGCGTCAATTTTTTCAATAAAAAAATATCCAACAACAATGTTTTATTTTTGGAATGAAATAATGATTTTGTTCTTTGTAAAAGCTTTTTGGTCTTAGCATATCATTATTGCCTACCTCAATACATGCTCCAAATCTTATACATACACGTTTATTACACAAGTTAAACTGAACTACATCCACATATGAATGCATGCATCCATATATGAATGTATAATTATGACATATAGCAATAACATGTGAATTTAAGTTTATTTTCATGTGAATACAAGTTTTCTTTCTAATTTCTAATTTTTAAAATATATTGATCTTTGTATACTTATGAATTTGTAAATAATTTGATATTTTCAATAAAAAGATGTTATTACTGTAGTCTACATATGTTACTTAACCATTATTTCAAACAATAATATGCTTCTTATTTAACTTCAATATCATTTTTTCATCTGGTTGAAATTTGATTTGGCTAGCTTGTATCATCAACATCATTGTCTCATGTTAACTGATATTTTTATACTATAAAAAACCAAAAATATTTGACTTTCTTTAATATATTCTTAATGATATTTTTGAATGTTCATGCAAAAACATTTACATAGACATTCAAAATTTCCTTGATATTTATTAGATAATGTTATAACTCTATAATCATAAAAAATACAATAAATTTATATCTACAAATAAAAATTTTGTATGCTTAAATATTATGAATTTTCATATGAAAATAGCAAATTTGTATGAATCAATGTATTTTAATTTAATTCTGCTTCTCATTTATGCACGTGTTGGCGAGAGATATATGTCCATTTATCATTAATGTGTTTGTCATGAATCTTGATAAGACACAATTTGTAGACGGTGTTATAGATGTCAAAATACAAAATATATTATATATTTTTTATTATACACAATATAGGCTAATTGATTGCTATATGGATTTTTTAAATATGAATTTTTTGTTATTTAATTTCCATCAAACCAGAACATATTTTCAAAATAAAAAATTTATGAACGATTGATCAATTAAAGTCACAGGAATTTATCTAGATATCGTATTGTTTACTAGCATCAAGTCTTCACTATTAAATATGAGAATTTGATGTGTTTTTTTAGGCCCATATTCAAATTTTTTTACATATATGAGTTTAAATTTCGTGGCAAAAATCGTGCATCTTGATCATGTAATATTGTCAATGTTCTTTCGGGCAGGTTAAGAAATTTGCTGTGTGATCGATAAATGTTGCAAATCTTGAACCTTATTTTAAAACCTTTTGAAAACATGAGAAATGTTGTTGAATTAAGGTATGTAATTGTGGTTTAGTTCAGCAATTCATATCATTGTGAACACGCTAAAGAATGAAGATGAAAAAAAGGGTATGAGAGAAACTAGGAAGGATTTTCTTACATGAAACCAACTTTCTCACATGAAGCCAAATGTGTAAGGGATAGCCACCCAATCTGTAGCATTATGCAAAAACCGATGCGGGTCCCCTGCTGAAAGGACACTGAGCGTACGCTCTCTTCCCCTATGAAAGGACCCGCTGCCGATGGAGTCATCAAGTTTGCTTAACGTGAGAAATATTTCCTGAATTAAAAACTGACTGTGTACCAAGTCACTCGTCGACAGAGAATAATAATTATAGACCGGATTTGACGGCATCGATGAATCCACCGAGTGTACTAAGGAACTGAGACCGTATGTCAAATAAATAAATTGACAATTTCCGCTTTCACGAAATGTAATACACGTGGGAAGATCCGAGTGGATAGAATCACAGAACCCCAAGGGCGGAGCGGTTGTCGGTCCCATGCCATGCTGTGTGTCATTTTCTTGCTGGGCAGGGCAGGCCGGGTCTCTGGGCAGAGAAATGACAGTGACCGGAATATGACAATCCCAAGCAATGGCGTGTTTGTCAGGGCTCCGGAGCGGGCAGGGCGTGCTACCCGCACAGCGGGAAGAACCGGTCGACTCCTCGCTTCGGTGACGAACGATCCGTCTGGGTTTCACCAAATTCGGACACGTGAGATACTGCCCGTCTTTTAAAAGCCAATGCCGCAATACCAGTTTCCATTTATATCTTTCTCCTGACACCTTCAGGTGCCGGCAACCTTTTACCGACCGGACCCCGTGATCTGCCGCTCCGGAAACCAGCCCGGGTCTGCTGCTGGAATCCTCGCCGTCCCGGAAACTATCCTTTGCATCGTCCCGGACGGCACCGTTACAGTTCACGTCAGGTCCACGCAAAGGCCCTGCGACGAAGAAACGCCGGTCCGTCCGATGAGCTCGGCCCGCTCGGGATGCTCTGCCGGTCGTCGATTCCCCTGTCCTCTCTTGCGAGGCTCTGGGAATGCGGACAGCAGAATTCTCGTGGAAGTCACCGTTACGTGTGCACCTGGCTGTGCCGGTAAACTGGAATCATCGAAAGGGGGAGAAGAGTGTTTCACCGGCTCGAACTTGTTCGCCCCTTGGGTCATTTCCCGTGGTAATCTCGCAGGCCAATCGGTTGAATGCCGGTTACCTTCTTCGAGGGAGGGCGGGCAGGGCAGGGCAGCCACGTAACATTTGGCAGGAACTCTTTATAGGCTCTCGAGAGGACAGTCGAGCCTCACGAGCCTCAATAGGAAGCAAGGTCGCGGAGAGTGTCGGAGTTGCAATCGGGGGCGTCAATTTCTCGAAACAGGAGTGGGGCTCGATCAGAGTGCTTTTCCCGCAGGGTGAAAAACAAGGCACGGGAGCAATTCGGCGATGGATGTTTGAGGAGTTCGCGACGAGGAGAGTTTAAGGCTGATTACTACCGTCGGAGAGAGCAGAGCGCGAAGATGAAGAGTTCCATGGGGCTGCTGCTGTTGGTGTTGGTGGGCCTGATGGCCTTGAGCGGACATGCGGAGGGAAAAGGCTTGGGTCGTGTGTCGTTGAAGAAGAAAACGCTGGACGGGGAGATGCTCAAGAAGGCGAAGCTGAACGTTTTCAATAGAGCTGAGTATTTGGGTATTCCAGTCGTGAGGAACGGGCTCAACGATGGCGGTGACGCTTTGGTGTTGAGTAATTACATGGACGCTCAGTACTACGGAGAAATTGGAATTGGCACTCCTCCTCAGTCTTTCCGTGTCGTCTTTGATACCGGCAGCTCGAACTTATGGGTTCCTTCCTACAAATGTTGGTTCTCTGTGAGTATTTTCTCTACGATCAATCTCCTCACATCACGCTTGTTTACGTAGACACTCTGCAGTTGTGGTATGCAGAGGGAAGTTTTTCGTTGATTTCAATGTCGACCTACTGTCAGGATATCAACTTATGGTGGTCAGACAGTTGATACAGTGCCTGAGGATGATCGCGAGCATCATCAATGCTTAGCATGTTTTTATATCTTCTCTCGATTTGTGTAGATATTTTTTTTGACGAGCCGTTGATATATTGGACTAATTTTAATACGACGAATCTATTGCGTTATGTGCAACAAGTGGGATGAGTGTGCATATCATCGTTTGAAAATTACAGTTCGAAATATTAGGAAAGATTGGTGGAGTGACCTACAGGTTGATAGGTTGAACCTAATGCGTGCTATGGGTGCAGATTGCTTGTTTGCTCCATCACAGGTACAAGTCTGCAAAGTCCAGTACCTACAAGGAAGATGGTAATTGATCCTCACCTTCAAATAATTGAAACAATTCACTTATCCTTACATAAGTCTTTTACACTTGTTCTCTAACTTACAAATGTGTTTGTTCGGGTTATGACATATCATTAGTTAGCTTGAAAGGTAGTGTCGGCGTTATTCTGGATGAAAATCTTAAGTGTATGGGGTGACATGTTACAGGCACCTCGTTTTCTATCCAGTATGGAACAGGAGCAATGTCGGGTTTCCTTAGCGAGGACACTCTCATAATGGGTGACCTGCACATCAAGAATCAGGTAAATGATCGAAATGTTTACGGGCAGGTGGCTATTGAACTGGACTTGTTTCTTCTTTGTTTTGGTTTGTTATTTGCATAGACGTTTATCTAGGATCTGACAAGAACTCTGGCTATGGTTTGGCGGATCAGGTTTTCGCTGAGGCGACAAAAGAACCAGGGCTTACCTTTGTGGCTGCCAAGTTCGATGGAATTCTCGGTTTAGGTTTCAAAGAAATTTCAGTGAACAGAGTGACACCTCCCTGGTAAGAGTACTGCAGCTCAGGATGTTTGATGCATAAGGTTTTGAGTGAAGTCTCAAGAACTGCAAGAAATGCAAGGAGCTGCCGTTACAATTTAGGGCAGTAAGGTCCCTGTATTTTGACTTTATGTCTCTGAATTTGACCGGCTCACTGAAGAATGTACCTGTTTTGTCGGCTCAACCAAACTGGGCTTTTTGGTCTGCAGGGGACGATTTGAAGTTCTAACTTCGTCTTTCCGACATTCTGTAGGTACAACATCATGGATCAAAATCTTGTCCAGTCCCCGGTATTCTCTTTCTGGCTAAATCGTGATGTCGATGAACAAACTGGAGGTGAGCTTGTTCTGGGCGGTATGGATCCCTTGCACTATAAGGGTGACCATGTTTATACTCCTGTTACTCGAAAGGGCTATTGGCAGGTAATCATTATTTATTTTAGTTGTACTGTTCAAGTTAGGAGGTGGCTTTGTGCGCAGTAGTACGGGCCAGACAATTGACATTTGCGGGCTCACTTTGGGATGCAGTTTAACATGGGAGACGTAACTGTTGGCGGAAAGAGCACTGGTAAGTAACTGCGTCTTAAAGCTGAGCAGTTGTATATATGTATTTACATGTGTATGCGGCTTCCTTGTGTTAACACACCTCGTTTGACCTCGAATTCACAGTAAGAAATTCATGTTTGTCCTTTGTATTTTTTCGATTATTATCTACATTGTTTATGCGCGTATTCTCCGTGCTGATCGATTTTCTTATGAGTTTTTTTGCCTCAATTCAGGGTTCTGTGCGAACGGTTGTGCTGCTATCGCAGATTCTGGAACATCTTTACTGGCTGGTCCTACGGTACTCTATTTTCTCTGTTCTGGTGGAGTGCCAACGTGCACTTTACGGAAGTGTCCATGGCAGTTTGTTTACAAAAATTTATTTTCACGCTATTTCTCTTTAGTGTGGGTGGAATTTTTATCTTAAACTTTTCTGTGCCGTGTAGGTGATTGTGGCTGAAATCAATCATGCAATCGGTGCCACCGGTATTGTCAGCGAGGAGTGCAAGATGGTCGTTGAGCAATACGGAGAAATGATTATAGAGATGCTAATGCAGCAGGTAAGATGTGATGAGGTTCAGATAATACACCTAATGTGTCTACCAGCGGTGGAACACAAGGAGATTTTTTCATTTGACATTTCTGACCGCAGAGATGCTCATACACACTTGTCTTGCAGATGGCACCAGGAAAAATTTGTGCACAAGCCGGTGTCTGCTTTGATCAGTCTACTGCTGGTATCAGGTTGGACATTACCTAATAACCGAATATCTTGTGTGCCTTTTTTGTTCTGCCCAGGCGGCAAAATTCGTGTGTAATAGCGTTGGTCTCTGCTCTGGTCCCACCTCAGCTGTCAACAGGTCGGAGATTTTTTGTTTTTTGCGTATTTATTTCACAGTTTATTGGCTAGAGTCGAACGGTAGAACTCCTCTTGCCAGCACCGATAGATGTACGTTGTCTGTCGTCTCTGGTCAGTTGTGTCTTTTCCTTGAGCTTCTAGACTTTTAAAATGCGGAAGTTTTGTAGCTGCTCATTTTTCCTGTTTTTTTGGGACCAGTGAACCACATATTGAAAGTGTATTGGACAAAGACGTGGAATCCAAGCCTGTGGGAGACGACGTGGCCTGCGCTGTGTGTCAAATGGCCGTGGTGTGGGTACAGAACCAGTTGAGAAATAACAGGACGAAAGAAAGTATTCAGAATTATCTCAACGATGTAAGTAATTGAAATGGAAGTGGACTCAGGCAGTCTCTTATTCCGTTGATGTTGTGAAGGGTCTCTTATTCCGTCGATGTAAGGTGTTTGTCCTTAAGCTTCATCGTACCAAGAATGAATGTCATTTGAAACGTGGGTTATTTTATTTCCAGATTTGTGAACATCTTCCTAGCCCGAACGGAGAGTCTCTTGTTGACTGTGATTCTCTGTACTCGATGCCGAATGTTGCGTTCACAATCGAAGGAAAAACTTTTGAGCTGACTCCACAGCAGGTACTTCTTTTATTCTTGTTCGTTTTCTTACTTTTCATACTATGATATAGTTAGATGTTCTAGACTTGATATTCTTTTGACGGTGCAGAATTTGCGGGAGGTATTCTTATTCCAACTGTTTATGTACCATAAAGAGCCGTTTTGAATGTGTATGAAGGGTACTTAGTACTAAATTCAAAGCAATTTGTTGTCCGTGCAGTATGTGTTGAAAGTGGGAGATGGCAAAGAAGCACAGTGCATCAGTGGCTTTATGGGAATGGACGTCCCAGCTCCTACTGGCCCCATATGGTATGATCGCAATAATATTTATAATATCTGTGTTTTCTCCTATTTTATGTTTTCTTTTAAACTTTTACGAAAGTAGAAAGCGAGAACATATTCAATTGAATCATGGCTCTCTGGCGTAATTTTCAAGAGGCTTGTATTTGTATGACTTTGTAATTCTGTAGATCTTGAATTGAAGACGTTGCTTGTGGGCTTGGTTTGCAGGATTCTTGGAGACATCTTCATGGGAGCTTACCACACTGTCTTTGATTACGGAAATACTCAAGTTGGTTTCGCCGAGGCTGCTTGAAGCTTTGATTCTCAGGCCTGAGCTTTGCAAGTTTTAGTGCTCCAGATTGATGAATTCACTGAAGATGTCGGATGTAAAGATGGAATTCTTCATTTCAACTGCAACTCCTATATACACGTTTCCCACGGCGTTGTTTGTTTGTTTTGAGGATCGTATTGTAAGTACTGTACAATATTTTCCCGGATATTAGGTACAGTAGGCAGTAAACACCAACTCTAATTTTGTAATATATTTTCATTATAGACGCTTAACAGACTTTGTGAAAATGTGACATCCAACAAAAGACGCTTTCTTTCGTTATCATCGCCAATGTCACCTGAAATTTATTTGATGAGGGTTTTTTGAAATACTTTTTGTGTCGGTCAGAAAGGACCGATAAGCAAACATTGGATGGATACTATCTGTCATCGGCAAAAATTAAATTTGGACATTTTCAACCCCAGCATGTGAGCAGTCGATGCGTATATGCTATCTGTTTGCTGAACGAATCTCACGAATGGGTTTTAACAGTAGATGTTGGAATTTTGAAGACTACGTTTACAAATCTTCATGTGAGATATTTAGGGTTTTCAGCAGACGAACATCCAAGTTAAATTATGTGTTATTGTCCTTACCTCATGTGAAGATCGAAATGTAATAGTAATCGATCATATGTGATCAATCTGCAGTTTTCTACATGCTTCATAGGTGAGCACACATTACCGTAAGTTTACGTTTAAGTTTCTCCAAATTTACAGAGTTAGGGTGACTGTTAATACGGCAATTATATGGGATAGGGAGAGTAATCCAGTATAAACATCATGTTTTCAAAGAAGTTATCTAAATTCACAATTACATAACATCGATCGCGAAAGTAGGGCAAAAGTGTCAGTGCATCGTCATCGTTAATTCATTGCTTCACAGCTCCGAACTTGTACTGTCCAACTGGACAACATATATCAGTGTCAATCAGCTATGCTCAGACTTTTCTGCTTCTCCTCTTCCGTACGGTAACCAACATTGCCTTTATCTACTTCGGCCGCCACTTGCGGATTGGAACACTGATATATTTATCCGCACACAAAACCAATGCTAACGAGAGTTGTCGGACCTTTCACTATGCTACGTCGTGTCTAGTGGACAGTGAGTATGATCCCATGTGCAAACTGTCAACGTCAGCTCGTAAAAAAACATCTGCGTCCTCTTTTTGACAGCAAGATCTTGGGAAAGCCGCCAAAGCCGTACGCACCGCCAGTAAGAACAGTCACTGTGATTGTAAATGCAAGATTACATGCGGAAAATCGACAACAATTTCACCTTTGGGATGAATCCTGATATCCGATGTCGTCCATGCAGAACGAGGTCCGCAATGGCAAAGTCACGCTACAAAAGGATGTGGCAAAGCATGGCTCGAACGTAGTGTCACATGTACAACAGAAACAAAAGCACATGCCGCAGCAGTAAAAAATCACTGAACACGGCCCCATCGAGGCACATGAGAAAACAAAGAATCCCTTCAGAGACACGTGATTCTTCACAATTTAACTCCTTCTCAGTAACAACATCAAAGGTCTAAGTGTAAACTAACAATGGGCCTTTCTCCGCTGCACTGCTCGTACACAGACGGACCGAGGCCTGGCAATTTGTTGCGACTGAATAAACAATTCGGGTAAGAGAAAGGGAAGGCTTTGAGCTATCTAGTGTGACTAGAGAAAAATAATTTGTGTATCCTATCTACACCCAGGATTCAACGAATTCCTGACTCAAATACCAAGCTCTAACAATCAGGTACAAGATCTCCACCATTCACATAGCACGGCTGGCGAGCTGGCTGGGCAGGCAGGCTGGCTGGCTGGATGTGGCTGGCTTGTGCTTTTGCACACCATACCATCCACTCCAGCAGGACGAGTCTTCGGTAGTGGCCTGTAAAGCTGACTTGACATCCATCACGCCAAGGCTAGGCCAGCATTCGGAGATGAGTTGAATTGAGATGAGCTGAGTTGAGTTCAGCCGCCGCTTCGCCATTGTAGACAAGACCATGGACCAGCCTGAAGTTTATGAAACAAACACATTCGCAAAGCTAAGCAAACGAGAATACATCAACGCCCACGGGCCTTCTCTTTGGACTTGGGGCCGAGGCCTGACGGGGCGGTGGTGGTGGTGGTGGCAGGGGGGGCGTCGGCGGCAGGAAGGGGGCCACTGGCAGAATTCGACTCGGAGCCCTCGTCGGCCGCCAGCAATTCGTCGCCGTACTTTACAGTGTCGAGCTTGAGCTTGTCGGGGTCTTGGAGGCCATTGGCGTCCTTGGCAGGGGCGGAGCTCTCCTTGTCCTCGCCCTTGAGCAGCTCCACCACCTCGAGCATGGTGGGTCGGTTCTCGGGCGTGTTCTGCGCGCACATGGTGGCCACTTTCACCACGCGCCGCAGCTCCTCCTCCTCGAACTTGCCGTTCAGCTTCGGGTCCACCAGCTCGTCCAGCTTGCCGTGGAACACGAGCGGCGCTGCCCACTCGACGATCGTCCTCTTCGTGCCGGGCCCCAGCTTCTCGATCGGCTTCTTGCCGCTCAGCAGCTCCAGCAGCAGAATCCCGAAGCTGTACACATCGCAGCTCTCCGACACCTTCCCCCACATGGCGTACTCCGGCGCCAGGTACCCCAGAGTCCCTTTCACCCTCGTCGTCACGTGCGTCGCCCCGTCCGGGATCAGCTTGGCGAACCCGAAATCCGCCACCTGCGCGTCGAAGTTCGAATCCAGCAGCACATTGCTCGCCTTCACATCCCTGTGAATGATGTGCGGCGTTGCGAAGTGGTGCAAATACCTGCCGGGCCCAGCGACCGATCCATCCAACTGTCAGCCACTGTCACCACTCATTCCTTCATCACGACATCCAAATGCAATGCAATGCAGTGCTGCAATCGAAGGCGAGGTCGATAATGTTTCAGACTTGCTTCCCCTGTGATTTGGACCTTTGGGTGCGGACTTAGATTCCAGCGATGGAGGGGATGATGAGTGACAGAGTGGGTGGGGGGAGGGGGTCAGAGGTACTCACGCTAGTCCTTCTGCGGATCCGATGGCGATGCTCATTCGTCTGCGCCAGTCCAGAAGGGAGTCGGAGGCATATTGGCCGTGAAGGTGGGAGAGGAGGCTGAGGTTGGGCATGTAATCGTAGACGATGAGTCGCTCTTGGCCCTCGGCACAATAACCGCGAAGGCTCAGAAGATTCTTATGTCGAACTCGTCCGAGAATCTCGACCTCCACCGCGAACTCCATCTCGGCTTTCGTGCTCCACACTTTCAACCGTTTGACAGCAATCTGAAAGCCCCACCATGTCCACGACAGCACTCCTGGTCAGTGAAATTCCTGAAAAGTGCACGTCTTCCTCCACTCGAGGCACATGTCAGCCAATAACTCGAGCTCTCAACAATGTCAGGGACGAATTCACAACATTCTGCACTTTTCTGCAAATTTGGGCAAGTGCTGCTCTCGATTCACAATCTGGAGAACAGGACGTACGTTTGATCCGTCCCATAATTGGCCCCAGTAGACACTTCCGAAACCACCTTCACCGAGCTTGTTGTCATAATTAAAGTTATTCGTCGCAGCGTGCAGCTCCTTAAGGCTGAATATCCTCCACGTGCTGCCCTTCTTATCGGAAGCATCTCTGCGCAGACCGAAATCACGGTCAGGGCCAAATGCACGCAGAGCCAGAAACTCCACTCAGAGAAGAAGCAGGCGAGGTGAGCCGAGGCTTCTCCACAACGCTGTCAATCAGAAATCCTCGACTGTGAAGTGAAGGCAACAACAAAATCCACGAGCCCACGAGCCCACGAGCCCACGAGCCATCGAGCCATCATCCATCGCCCGCTGCTCGCAATCTGTGCGGGATTGGGCAGACAGACGCATCCCTGATACGAGACCGGGATCGAGGTGTGCCCCACTCGCGAGGCGGCGTGGGCAGAATTCCCTCGACGGAGTGTCCGGCTCGCCCGCTGCGCTCGCGTTGACAAGCGCAGAGGCAGACTTGGGGTGACTCCGCCTCGACCAATCGACCAACCGACCATGTTGACTTGAGGTTTTGGGCTCGAGAGCCACAGCAATAGTCAGATTCCGCCCGCACAACTGCACGCCACCTACTCGCAGGGGCCCAGCGGGATTCATGCTCAACATCACATCGACGATCGCGTCGACTGAAAGCGGCCGCAATATCGTCGTCGCTTCTTTCCCGCCCACGGATTTGGTCTTTACTGCACTCATTAAATACTCGTCCCCTGTCAGAGAGTGGTGGCTGCAGCTTCGCCGGCTCCATCCGAGTGGCGATGAGATGGCTCCCAGGGGCCTGGAATGTGGTGGCTGGCAGGGTGCGAGTGTGCGAGCGGATGAGATGAGATGAGATGAGACCAGACCAGACCAGACCCGCCCGGGCTCAGTGAGTGTTCACGAGCTCGGCGGCGAAGAACCTCGTCGAGAGCTCGTACCCGAGCCTGAGAACCTCGAGGATCGACAGTACGTGTGCTTCGAGTGCACGCGGAATCAGAAACAGGAGTGCGAATCCCAACTCGACAATCGAGGCAGGATCATGATCCCGGGCCTCTTCCTTTTCGTTCGGAGCTACTGCTCGGACGACATTCATGCAGTCGGCTTCGCAAAGAGTTTTGTGCACCGGGGGAGAGAGAGAAATAGAGAGGACAGGTTGAGCCGATGAAAATGTCGGCCAGCGAAGAATTTGGTTTGGTAAATGTTCGAACGAGCATTCACAAGGCGTAGATGGGAGGGACAGGGCAGTAGGACGAGCAGAGCAGTGCAGAGCTCGCGCGGACGAGGAGCAGCTACCAGCTCACGACATTGGTTCACAATCCTTGCAAAGGTTCACAGCAGTTGAGTCTTGCCACACCGTGGGCCAGAGAAACATTGCAACAAGCACGAGGGCCGAGGGGGCAGAGCCAAAGGACGTAGATTGAGGGAAGGCAATGCACGGGGGGTGGCAGAGAGGCAAGCAGAGGGAGGGAGAGAGGAGAGGAGAGGAGAGGAGAGCACTGACCCGCCAGCAGCTCCGGTGCAACACAGAAATTTCGCAAACAATGCCATGCTGCTGAGTGCTCCAGCTGCCGCTTCCTTCCGGCAACGCCACAATTGCGAGGCAATCTGCCGGCCACTCTGCCTGCGCTACCACCGACGACTGGGACGATTTCAGGCCAGAGCCAGAGCCAGAGCTAGAGCTAGCGCTAGCGCAGGAGCGAACCGTCTATCCGCCAAACCTTGCCAGAGTTTTCCCTGCCACTGCACAAGGGCCGAGTGGGATTGACACAGAAGAGCCATCCATACTCTACGAGCAAATCGCGATCCTCCTCCCCTCCTCTAAAGCCGTCATAGATCCTCTTCATACGCTCGCATGCTTCCTGCTCGCTCGCTCACTCACTCACTCACTCACTGCTGCCGAGTGATGATCTACCACTACCCCCACCACCACTACGTCCTCCTCCCGTCCTCTTCCCCTTCGTCGTCCTCTTCGCTCTTTTGTTCCTACGCCTTCTTCGCTGCTGCTCGCACATGCGCGTGCACGCGCCGATTTTCCGACGAAGCAGCGCCCGAGCGCAAGACCATGTCTCGTGACTTACTTACTTCGACTCCAGGCCTTGCCTTGCACTGAACCTGCGTCCCGTGCCGAGAGAGAGAGAGAGAGAGAGAGAGGAGTGAGGAGCAGATCCACAGACGGCAAAACCCCACCACGCTAGTGCGAGGATGAATAAGAGAGACGGAGAGAGAGAGAGAGAGAGAGAGAGAGAGGAGCGAGAGAAGGGCCGAGAAGTTCGCTGGCGGGCTGGCTGGCTGGCTGGAGCAACGGGATGGGATCTCGGACTACAGCAGAGGTGTAAGAAAAGCACGGAGCCGAAACAGGATCCGGGCAACAACGCGTCGAAACTCGTCAAGACATAATTCCGAACTGCGCGACGGATGGCGATCCACAAGGATGTGTGCCAGCCAGGGCCCCCCCTCTCCCTCCCTCCCTCGTCTTCGAAGTGATGATGAATACACTATACACTCTGCAATACACATCACAACCCCTTCTACTCCCCCCACTAAACCCAACCCATCCATCCATCTCTCCATCCACCCGTCCGTCCAAATCACGGCCTCCCAAGCCCCGGCCCAGTTACTGCCGCTACTGCTCGTTCTGTACCCGTGTCCCGTCCCTCGTCCTGCTCCTCCCGCTAGCGTTGCCGCGTCTACCGGTGAGGCTTACCGGTAACTTGCTGCGGAGGCGAGTCGGCTTCGTGGCCCGGACCCTCCTGAGGTCACGACGAAGTTTGCAGACCGGGAGGAACGGGCAGAAAACGGCCGCTCGGGTAGCACTGTGCAAGCCTCCGACGGGCAACCATCGGTACCAGCCGGAGAACGAGCGACGATAGCCCCCTCCCGTCGGGAGCTTTCATCGGGACCCTCCTAGAGGTGACGTGTCCCGGACCGTCTGTCGGATGGAACGTTGGAAGCCATATTCCGAGGTGTGGTTCACGCCTTCGGATGTTCCAGTAACTGAGGTTTCCCTTCCGATAGCTGGAGTTAATTCGTCCGGTAAACTCGACCGACTCGGCCTCGCAGTTGCTGGCATAAATTTATTCCGCACGCGTACGGAGTTGAGCATGCACAAGTGCAGGTCATTATAAAACAATCATTTTATTTTCTTTAGCAAGTTTATTTCTTTTGGAGCAAGGATTGCGTACTCCATACAGTTGGGAACTTTCCTTACTTATTGGAGAAGATCACGTTACCATGAGAGAAATGCAGAACAGAAAAATCAATACAGTGGAAAGAGGAGGAGAACGAACAACCCCCCCTCAAAAAGCTCCAATAGTATTTTCTCGTGCTGAAAGAGAGGAAAAGGTGTGCTTCTTTATCGAGGAGAGATAAATTCTCACCTAAGGCCGATATACAGTACGTCGGCTCTTTAACCTGCGGTTGATAATCACAGTCGAACTGCAAAGGCAACGCAGTTTTTGAAAAACTTACTGCGCTCTGGACGTCACAGTAAAGCCCTGTCGGAAAGATTGACCAATATTGACGATTAACGAATAGTTCCAATAATAGGTCCATAATGGGAGGACAGAAATGATTGAGAAATCCCCACATTCAAGTCCAACAGGACACGCCGATTACGATCTCCCGTCCCGTCGGTCGGTCGGTCGGTCGGTCAGTCACCCTGTCCTCGGCGACGAGGCGATCTTTCCTGACGGACGGAGCACAAATGCAGAGCACTTCACTGCCGTTTCTCCGTCGTCCGGACGAGTCCGCTCCAAGTTCCGCTTGTCTCGCCCTTGCCGGTGACGGAAAGAGGGAGAGAAGCCGAGAGCTCCCGATGCCGCAAACGACAGCGCAAGCCCGTGATCTGGGCCTGGGCCCCGGGCTCGGTGGAGACGATGGCCGGGAGGTGGGGTCCGTATGGGACACGTAGCGAGGAGAGTATACTTTCAGACAGTATACATCGACGTCGAGTCCGGATTCCCGTATCCGGCCTCGCGTTCCTGTCCGGGCGTCACGCGCCCGGGGCCTGCCGCAAAGCTCGGCAATTTACAGCTGCCTGCGTGCGGCATCCGTCCATCGATCAAATCAGGCTCAATGCCACTGTCGCCACAAGTGGAAGAGCAGCAATCGGGGCACCTCTTCGTCCTGCACGAGGATTGATCCCTCCGCAGACAGGCCCCGAGCTCGTTTCCCTGCCGCTGCACTCCTCTTTGGCACAAGTGGAGGTGGGGGCATGACATTGTCGAGATATGCGATAGTAGAGTTGAGGAGCGAGTGTCAGTCAGGCTCTCACTTCAGATTGATTGTCTCCAGTGGATGAGTTGAGAGCGTTTGATTTGACAAGGTCTCCCGGTAAGTGATGAGTATGGACGATGGGGAGAAGCGTGTCCGTGCCACTTGAGACTCTCAAGTGGCACGGACACGCAAGTGAACTCTCAAGTTGAGAGTTCACTTGGGCTCAAGTGGAAGCGGTGGGGTTGGGTCTGGGAGCTTACGAGGGAGATTTGATCATGCACTTGGGGGATGGATGGATTCATGCGTGCGAGTGGTGCACCTGGCATCGCTTCTTTCATTCTTTCTTTCCTTCTTGCGCCTGAGGTCTGGAGTGGATGGACCCAGCAGGAGGGGAGGTCTGCGAGTGAGCTGGTCGATGGCTTTTGTATCGTCTCGTGCCGCGTTCATGGATGGAGGTACAACCGAGTTCTGAGTAGGGTCAACACTTCCACGACTCCACCTCAAACTATGACCGCCTCCAATCTTGACTTTCTTTTGGCAACTGAGGACAAAGCTCTTACATCAGCCAGCCAGCCAGCCAGCCAGCGAGGAGGAGACGAGAACCGCAGTCAGTAGTCAGTCACGCCGGGTACAGTCTTTGTCAGAAGCCATGTCTCTGCAAACGAAAGCACACCGATCAACATGATCACATTCATAATTAATCAATGTCGCCTATGGCCCTCTCTCTCGTATCTGAGAGGAGAGAGAGGGCCATCTCGCACATATGTAAGCATCGTCGCAGATTGAGGACGACGAGGTGTGTAGTGAGGTACTGTAGTAGTAGTAGTAGGCCAGCCAATAAAGACCTGCTGCTGCTTTGGCACATAGACTACGGTCAAGCTTTTGAGTAGCATGCCATGCGTTAGCTCATGTGTCAGACGCTTCGACGACGGTACTCGGTGCCTAAATTCGCCAGGGCTCCGTGTGCCAAATCGATCGTACTCTTTCCAACAGAGAGAGAGAGACCCCGAGCCCCGATCACTTCGGTGATCACAGCCTCCTCATCCTTTAATCAGAATTTTCTACTCGATTGTGCCAGCACACAAATGTCCGTTCGCAGTGCCCCAGGCTACCATGGCTGCTTCGTAGCTACGGTGGCTACGACAGCTCTGAGGATCACTTGCTGTGAAGAATCCTTGACCATAATCGCCCGCAGATTTGCACTAGGCTCTGCTGCATCTGATCTGCAGCTGCTGCGGTGCTCTGCCCCTCTCTCTCTCTCTCTCTCTCTCGTTGTCCTCATACTGTACCACCACGACTACGCCTGCAGACTACAGCACTGCCCTCAACAAAAGCCAACTCCCGTGAGCCATGAGTCCTTTCGATTCTCCATCGCCAAATTCTCGATTCCTCACGAAATCTGAGATGAATTTGGCTCCTCGCGCTGCCACTGCAAGCCTGCTGCCAGCCTGCCAGCAACGCAGTCTGAGTACCATAAAGGTCACCATGCCTTGCTCCTGAACCACGTTAGGCCCCATGTCACTCTATCGAAAGCCTTCCTCGGGCCTCTGACGCCCGCCGGAGTTACAGAGCATCGACGGAGCCCGGCCACGGGACCGGGACGGAGATCGACGGATGGCGCGTGTGCCAGCAGCAGTTCCGCATCCGTCGATCGGGAATATTCGAGGCATCGAGGCCAGAGGCAGACGTACGGGCTCCGCTGGAAAAGGCGGAAGTGTAAAAATAGAAAGGGGAGAGGGCCAACAGCGCAAAAGGCTCGTGCGCCTTTTCAGAGCTCTGCAGAAGAAGACAAACGGGTTTCCCGACCTTACCTTTAACTTGAGATTCCCCTTGTCCAGCCTCGAGGAGCAATCATAACCCCAAAGGGGGCAACTAAACTTAGGAAGATATCGTTACTGTACTTCATAATTTAGGGACTATAAATTCGCATTTCTCCTCTAACTTTGTCTGTAAAGTTTCTGCCTTCCAAGTCCCCGGTTTCCGGACTTCCCAACGTTTTGTCCGTACCCGGCGCCGGGAGCTGACCTCTTTTCTCGCCGGTGCATATCTCGCTACTAGACCCCATCAGGTAAGGCCTTCCGCGCCGTCTCCAGGTTCCTCGCGACGACGCGCTCTCTCTCCTGGGTCGCGAGTTCCGGAACCTCCTCGGTTGCAAAGTTCGTCGCGGATAGAGTTCCATTAAGCCCCCGGAGGCCCTTGTCTGCCCCACCTGGACCGCGATCCCGAGACGGTCACGTAGGCGTCGCTTCCGAATGCCCATCATGATTGGTTGCAACCTGCGCGCCGCCTCCCGGGGCTCTATCTGATCTTCCACACCATTGGTCGTTGCCCATGACGCAATCCGGGGGCTGGTTGGCGCTCGGCGAAGGCGGGGCTTGATCGAGCCCCGAGTGAGCTAAGCCCCGAGCGAAGCCCCGACAGAGCCCCCTGGATAACGCGAGCGGGAGCCATGGCAGGAGGCAGAGGTGGAATTCTGGACGATGAATTCCGCATTCGATTCGAAGGCGCAGCGCAGCATCGATGAGGTGAGATCAGCAGCAGCCGAGGAGCCAATTTCCCGTGACTTTGGCGGACAGTCTCGGTGGTTCACAGGCAAGCTCGCAAACTTCGTGCTGGTGGTGGTGGTGGAGATGAGCGGAGGGTTTAGGGTTCAAGACCAAGTCCAAACGATGAAAGATCGTCTGGACACTTGTTCGCCATGACACTGACAGTGGTTCGAACTTGTTCTGATTGAAAGTGGCAAATGTTCGACGTGGTGTCACCGAAGTGGAATGGAATGGTATGGATTTGGTCGGATGACGTTCGAGCTTGAGTGTGCTTCCTCGGCTTGGAGAAGGAAGGACGCGTTGACAGGTTGGGAGCGACCGAGGAGCACAGTTGTTGTTGATTCTGGGCGGGGTTGTGATTGTGTGAAGGATTGTAAAGCTGGTAGAGCCGAGGGATCCGACGCATCGTCATCCTGGTGGTTGTGCCCGGGGCCATGTGATTCCGGACTCAGTCAAAATTCCGAATAATTCAGATTGGGGCCCGATGGATCATGTAACATGGATTGACTTTTGAGGTGGGGATTCGCGCTAGTGATTCGCCTGGTTGATTGCAAGGCCAGCGGTTCCGTACTCGGGGTGGTATCTTGTAGAGCAAGATGGCACCTTCAGCTTCGCTTCAGTTCCTTTCGTTTTCGAGCTCCGTGGGTACACTGCAGCGAAGTTTATCGGCGAATTTCTTGCCTCAAGCGTCTACATCCTCCTTGCGCTTGCACACTTGTAGATGCAATTCGGAGGAGTTGAGCCCGAAAGAATTGCATCATCTCAGGAAGAAGAAAGAGCGGAAGGTATTGAGGAAGATGAAGAAAGTCATGCTAGAGGAGAAACGGTTGGAAGAGCTGGCGAGATTACCTGTTGTGAGGCCGAATTATGCGATTGCTAGATTTGAAAGTAGCAAGCCTCTCGAGGGCTGGAACAAGCCTCGAAAAAAGAAAACTGCGGCTACAAATCAACATACTGCAGAATTGGCTCTGCCCGAGAGTGGCCAGGAAAATTCAAGTGAAGAAACTTGGTCTAGTACGTGGAGTGAATTTGAAGCGGTTTATGAAGATCGTGTGAGGAGCACAATTGTGGGGTATGGTGTGTCAAGCCAAACAGATCAAATTGAACGGCAAGCTAGTGGTTTCATCGAAAATCAGGAGTCACAGGAATACGTTCTACACTCTGTAGCCGACAGAAATGTCTTCGAAATTGACGGCGAAATCAAAGACAGAAAAGCAGAGGCCGTAAACGGTGAAACAGATAATAGTTCGAGAGATGCACTCGGTTTCCCATATAATCTTTTAGATAAGCAGGATAGAATTTTTTCCGAGGATGAAGACACTAGCTTTAAGGATTTGGACAATTTTTCTAGCGGGAACGTAGTAGAGGAGGAAAGAACTCAATTTAGGAGGAAAACTGCAAGGGTCGAAATTGGACAGCGGAATGGAGTTCCTATATATCTGTCTGCGGAAGATGATGATGGTCGAGACAGGCGGAAAATGCGTCGAGATGATATGAATGAAACTAAACAACTTGAGTGGCTTGCAAAACAGTGAGTAGATCTTTTTTCCCCTTTCTCAACACAATGGATCCGGAAATCCTTAAACCATTTGAGCTGCTCACATGAATTGGGCTCTATCCCTCTCGTGGAAGCATGGAATTATTTGAGTTACATTTTTTACTTGAAACCAGTTACTATTCTAGATGGAATAACTCGAGATGATCGGGATTCATTTACGGATGGATCTACTTGAAATTGATGAATTTTACACTTCCATACAACTGTTCACTAAATGCCGACGATTAGGTCAGTTCTGTTAGGAAGAGAAAACGTTTTCTTCCGAACGAATGGCGAATGAAGAATAACGTTGAGCAAAGTTACTGATAATCGAGATGACATTTGTCTTGTATCTACAGGTTAAACAATGTAGGGACACGCACAGATGGAGTTCATTTTTCCAGGCTAATGCGCAGTGGGGGTCTCAAAATCACCGATGGACGAGCTGTTGTTCTTCTGCAAATGTTAGGAGCGCGAGGAAACTGGCGGCGTGCAATGCAAGTAGTTCAATGGTTATCAACCCGGAATCAATATCCACAAACTAAAAGCAGGTATATTTTTCATTCCTATCTCACCGAAGGCAAAAGTGCTGATGTCTGCTCCAGACTTTGTAGTTCATACTTTCTTTGTCACGCTGACAGCGTCACCATGGGCCTCTGGGATGACATTAGCTAGACAAGCTTCAGTGATCAATGTATTTTGACTTCATGCACAGTCCGTCTTGTCAAGTCAAAAGATCTCATCAATTTGCCGTCTAATAAGTAGGAAATGTCTGTATTTGTGCTATGTGAGCATTGTCTTAAGTAGCTGTTGGATGCACAACTGGATCTTTTCCTTCTCATCTATCCTCACATGAATTGCTTTTGGTTCAACAGGTATGTATTCACAACGTTATTAGCTGTTTTGGGGAAGACTAGAAGGCCATTTGAAGCCTTGAAAGTATTCAAAACCATGCTTGTGAGTAAAATTGCTCGTTACTCCTTGGATGTCTTTCATCGCTATCGATGGCCGAGACTCAAAACATCAATCGGTTTCCTTTGAGAGGTCAGAAGAGCAGATTTTGCTCAAATATTACACGACAAGAAAATGCTCGTCTGGGATTAATGTTTTTGGAGGAGACCTCTGAACATCCTTACTTTTGCCTGTTTCACCAGGAGGAAACATCAATTTATCCAGACATGGCTGCGTATCACTCTATCGCTGTCACTCTTGGTCAAGCAGGTTTCTTAGAAGAACTTTTGGATCTTATACCAAGCCTTCGAAAAGGACCAAGAAGCACCAAGTACCTTCTTAACTTGAAGAACCATGGTGCCCTATCTCCTGACATTATTATATTCAATGCGGTATGGGCACTAAGACAAGACCGAGATTGTGCTCCTTTCAAGTCATTTTCCAACATATTGTATATAAAATTTGCCTTGAGAGATTTCATTCTTTACTCTTCTTCATGTTGAGTCCTGTTGACGATCCGACAAACTTGACTGAGCATGAAGGACACTTAAATAAGGCCTCATAATTTTCATGGATCAGTATGCATATCTGGAGATTTTTAATCATTGGAATACAATGTTCCAGAAACTAAGAGAGGATTTTTATGATCGCATTTATGTTCACATTGTGGCAGGTATTGAATGCTTGTGTTTCGCACAAGGATTGGAAGTGCGCCCTGTGGGTTCTAGATGAAATCCGAAGAGAAAAGTTGCACCCAAACTCTGCTTCTTATGGTCTTGCAATTGAGGTGCACATCAACTTATCCTATTGTGCAGGCATAGTCTATATGTACTAGATACCAGGTGGTGAAATGAATGATGTCTTTCTTAGAGTGTTCACCAGCTATCCTGATGGGTAATAATACCTAACGCCCGCTACATACATTTGTTTCTGTATTGTTATTGTAGGTGATGGTTAAAGCTGGCAAATTGAATCTTGCCTTTGAGACGTTAGAGATTATGGAGCAGTCTGGTTGCTACCCCAACAGCCTAACTTACAAAGGTAAACCTAATTATTAGTCGTCATCCTTTCTATCATTTCGTAGTTCAAGATGGTCGTGAGTTGAACTGTAGAGTGTACAACCGAACGAGAGTTTACTTTCCGGAAAAAATAGGACATATTTCATAAGTAGGAGTTATGTGTTGTTTTGAAGAATGTCATTGATGGATGGATGGTTTATCATGTACGAACAATGGATTGATCCTCAGTGTTCGTACCTTTGGTGCAGTCTTGGTGGAGGGCCTTGGTCGAGCAAGAAAACCAGATGCAGCAGTTGCTCTGGTCAAAAGAATGGAACAGCGTGGTATGGTGGCCACATCTGGAGTCTATTTTGCACTAGCGTCAACCCTCTGCATGTCTGGCCAATGGAAAGAAGCTGTTTTACAGGTATGCCTCTTCACATTCACTTGCTTGAATTCGTAATGTAGATTTCATTTTGAGCCAATCTGCTAAAGTTTTTAATGTTGTATTTCACTTCATTTGTAAGACGGGCGAAGTTGGAAGTATTGTTCATTGACGTGCACTGATGTTTTTTACAGGTTGGACGACTAGCTGAACTGTCAGATAGACCATTAGTAGCAACATACACAGGGCTTATCACTGCATGTGAAAAAGCCGGACATTGGGAAGATGCGATATCCGTGTTTCAATACATGCAACAAGTCTGTGCACCGAATATAGGCACATACAACGTCATGATTGCACTTTACGGCCGTCACAATCTTTTTCGAGAGGCGAAACGTCTGTATGATAGACTCAAATTGGGGAGATTAAGCCCCAGAAAGATGTATAAGAGTGCCGCGCTTCTGGCACCAGACATGTTCACATATGATGCAATGTTGGGAGCCTGCGCTGTTTGTAGTGAGTGGGAAAGTCTGGAATCAACCTATCAAGAGATGCTTTCACAAGGTTACGAGCTCACTTCCAAGAGGCATACCTGGATCCTAGAAGCCCTTTCAAAGTCTGGGAAGGTATGAAGCTGAACGCCTTTTTCTGTGAGAGGAAGACATTTCAGTGTCATCACAATTGCTTGGTTTAATATGGTGATCATGGTGTAGTAAGTTAGCAACGGAGGATTTGTCTTCCTGTTGAAACTTTAGCATATGTAACGATGCAAGCAATCCGAGCACAAGCGGGCCTGACTTGGACAATTTTTCTCTTGATTCTCTGCAGCACGATCTGGTTGAGGCCATGTTTACCCGAATATTAAGCAAAAATGAAACTGTACCATCTGAGATCTACCGAATCATCACCTGCTCTTGCATTCTGGTAAGACGGGACGAGGAAGCTTTCAGCTATTTGGCGGAGATGGTGAAACAAGGTATGAGTATCAGCAGCAAACAACTGCAAAAGTTTCAGGAGGTGGCATGTTCACTCGCCGATGATGAGAGAGAAGAGTTTTTGAACCTACTGGATCAATTGCAAGTTTCTGGTGACTTCCCATTTGAGGCATCTGGCAAGCCTGTCACCGGAAGTGATCAATCTTCGTTCAATAACCGGAACACTTATCAAGAGTTGCAGGCTTCCATGATGACACACGAGAGAGGCAGGACGTCTTACCGAAGGGAAGCAACAACATTCATAATGGACAGAAACGCTGTTGCACATAGCACGGTCGCATCCAAGACAGTCCGCGCCGACTTTGTGAGTGCGGAACGCAACAAAGACGTCGACATCTCAAATTATCCTGCCCAAAAGAAAAAGAAAGTCAAAGTCAAGAAGCCTGTTTACAAACCTGATCCGGAGCTCCCAGATTGGGAGCTTCTGTGGACAGCTGCAGATCATGTGCAACGAGATCTGCCGGATTCCTCTTTGTGTGAATAGACTACTTACTCTCGGGGAGATCAATATTGTTTCATACTGAATCTCTGTACATTTATTCAATCACCAACGAAATAAAGGTCGATCCGTGTGCAATGCGTATCTTAGGCTCTCTTTGCGCACAAAGTATCTTCTAGTCGACATGCTAGAAAACACTACAGCTTCTGTAGTTCGCAGTTCGTACCGATGCTCCTTTGTCGACTAGCAGCCAGCCATCCGTCATGAATAGAAGACATGCAGATTACGACAGGCATATCTTGGATCACAGGCACCGGTGCTTTTCTAATTTCCTCCAGTAAGTGAGAGCGTGAGTGCAAATCCGGCCCGGGTTTTGATATCGATCTCGCTCGGGGACGAATTGTTTCTGCCGGTGTGTTCTCACTCACACTGCACGAAGATCTTCAGGAATCTTCAGTCGGGTCCACGGCACACTATTCTGTTCTGATCCAAAGCCATCTGCAGCGATTTTGTCCTTGACCTCTGCTTCGTCCGCACGTATAAGTTGAAAACATGAGCGCTGATTCTATGACCACTCGTGGCCCTGCACCGGATCTCAGAAGAACAAGACTTGTCCGCATCGAGACGAAAGCACGCATACCGCAAGGCGCAAGCAATTTATCACGCAGATCTCCACCTATCAGACTCCATGGCGCCGATGCCTGCCGAGCACGGTGGGCAAATTCGGCGCCAGGAATCCGGGTCCCGAAGGAAAGTGGGGGCTGGGGTTGGGGCTGGTACTCCTCCCCCGCCAATCAGACACGAAGTCGACGTAACCCCTGAGAGTTGTGGAGTCGCGTCGTGGAATGTGGTCCCGGAGGCGCGGGTCCCACGACGTCGTCGTGAGATTAGCCCCCGCGCCCTCGTCGCGTCCCGTCCTGGGGCAAGGACGGCGCCACGGCCAAAGCCGACCGATAGATATAAGGAAGGACCGCGGCTGATGATTTGAGTGCTGCCCGCGGGCAGCGGCATGGGATCAACTCTCGTATCTCCAATAATTGCGAGTCCAGAGGCACTCTTGGCGCGTCCGACGAAGAAAATCGCGAGCCGTGGATGCAGAATATCTGTGAGCCGAAATAGCGAATGCGAATCCCGATGCGCGCTCATGATCACTAGCCGCTGCTGCTGTCGACCCCATCGGCCAATTGGCATGGGCAGGGGCTGGGCCTGGGCCTGGGCCTGGACGGGCAGCACCGAGCCAGACTTTGACTTTGTTTTTCCCGGCCTCTGATCTCTGACCTCGGTCCGAGCCTGCGAACGCCTCGGCATGGGGCTTCCGAGCCCCCAGCCAGCCCCGCGGCGCATTTCCTCGACTGGGTGGGTGCTTACGGGAGACTGTGGGGGCAAGCGAAGCTTTAGCCCGTTCTCGGTGCTTTCGGGTCTCGAACGCGATCGATCACAGAACGTGCCCTGAGCTCGGACTGCTGTCTCTGCTGCTGCTGGAATCGAAGATTCTCGTCTTCATTGCCCCCCGGACCTCCTCGTAAGGAAGTCAGGTCAGGTCAGGCAAGGGAAAGGAAAGGAATTCATGGCAAAGGGTGGACCTGGGAATGCTTCTGCCAGCGAAGGACCAGCAGCAGCAGCAACAACAGCCAAAATGGGCTCGGCATGCGACCCGTCAGAGCAACCGTCACTCTGCAGACAAAGCAATCCAGTGTCCTAAAGCGACACATGGATAGAGAGAGAGAGAGAGAGATGCCAAAAGGTTCCCATCGTGCAGGGGAGGGGGGCGAGGGCAGACAAGAGTGCTGTTTCCAGCTAGTACGGTTTGGAGACCGAGAGTTAAGCGACTGAGTATGAGATTTGACTTAAACCCTGCGCCTCCCCCAGCGAACAGCGGCTGTTTATGAATCAGATCCGAAAATTCCATGGACCTGAAGAATTTAATGAGTGAATAGGCGTGAGAGATGCAGATGATGACGATGATAATTATGATAATAATGATAATGATTGAAACGATGGCCGAAATCACGATTGCAAAATGTTCAGGGCTCAGAGAGAGAGAGAGAGAGAGAAGGAAGCTCGACACGAGAATGTAAGGTTTAATGAAGGACGGTGAATTTTATTGTCACACTGCGATCCACAAAGACGAAAGAAATCGCGGATGGGAGAGAGAGTCGCGATGGACTCGGAAGTATTATGTACACGAATGTGGCTGAACAGCTTCTACGAATTGCTATGCACAGCACGAGGACGAGTCTAGGACAGTCGAGAGTTTCGAGGAATTTGCGCTTCGGGCGACGAGCGCTGCTTGTAAGAAGGCGCGGGTTGGAGCTTGGGAGCCTCTCGGCTGCTGATGGGGATGTCGACGGCCGAAATGTGGTCGCAGCGCTTGCCTTTGGACGGCGAGCGGTGCAAGCCGCCATAGCGAACCGTGAGCAGAATGCAGATGAGAGTGGCGCCATCGGCGTGGACTCCGCACTGCGAGCAGAAGGCGTGCGAGTGGTACGTGCTGACGACCCAGACGGTGCTGTGGCGGGAGCACGAGCAGGTGCAGCAGGAGCGCGCGTTGAGGAACTTGAGCCCGCAGGTCGAGTCGCAGCCCACGCCCCACTTGCTGTTCAATTTGTGGTCGCTCGAGTAGAAGGCCGCGGCTGCCATGAACATCTCGGCGAGAAATCTGGGAGAGATGGAATTCGTCGACGGATTGCTGCACCCGGTGCAAAACGCGTGGCGATGGTAGAAGCTCAGAGCCCATGTCGACTGCTGATCGAGCGGCGTGCAGCTGCATCTGGCTCTGGAATCATCGTCGGCTCTCTGCACCAGAATCAGCTTCGCCGGATCGCCGATCTCGCTGGGAAAATCTGGAAATTCCGCCACCGAAATGTGGCGTTGGGTCGGAGCCGCCATCGCCGACAAGGAGGGTCTGGCGAGGGACGGAGGAGTGCTGGTGCTCACGGGGCCAGCAGCAGCAGCAGCAGCAGCAGTCGCAGGAATTGGAAGCGGGGAAGTGACTTTGGGCGACACCAATCCCAATTTGGCATTCTTGGCGGGCTCGGGCCACTCGATGCCGTAGAATTCGACCTCTTTCCGCAGCCTGAACAAATCGGCGTCGGCCATTCGCGGGAGAGCCTCGGTGCTGCCATAGCGAAGCAGGCACAGCACGTTCTGGAACACGGACTCCTCGCAGTCGACGACGAGAGGCGGCGAGGGTCGAATTGGCGACGAGGCCGGGTCGAATTTCTCGCGCATGCCCTCGATTTTGATTCGGAAGTAGGCGCTGCCCTGCAATGTCTCGGAGCTGACGATGTACGGCGCTCGGTTACGCCCCACGAAGATGGTGATGTCGAAGAAGCGCGACGAGGGAGGGGCAGTAGCCGCAGGCATGGGGGCTACTCCTGCGCCTCCTCCTCCCCCAACCCCACCCCCACCCCCACCCCCTGCCCCAACCCCAACCCCCACCCCCAGCGGCAAGCCCATGACGGGCTCCCTGCGCAGCGTCTTGTCGGACCATCGCAGGCCCAGCGTCGATAAGCCCTTGTCGCCGCGGGGCTCGTCCCCCGCGCCCAAGCCCAAGTCCGGGCTGTAGTTGCGCAGCAGCACCGAGTGCATGTCCAGCATCGTCGTCGGGCCGTAGGCGTCCAGCTCGCCTGCTGCTGTGTTCCTCGGAGGCATTCTGATCATGCCCGCCTGCATCCGTCGCCTCGGCCTCTTATCCCCACCCCCCTCTCCGCGCTCACACTCTCGTCCTCATCAATTCCAGGCGATGGACTCGCAGTCGAATCGGGGTGATGACTTTCGGCCGAGTGGGCTTCGAGCTGCGCAGAGGAGACGAGTGAGTGAGTGATGGAGGTCTGTCTCCGTCGTTACCACGTCGGGGGCTTGCGGGAGGGTCAGCAGGAGGAGCAGGAGAAGAGTTCGGGCGAGGATTCGAGAGCGGAATTAAATGCAGCGCCACTGCATCTCTCGTGCGGTCGTCGGGCACACAGTGAAAAGCGGGCGCACTCGGCCGATTTCAACCCGCGCATTTTCCACACGCGAGTCTGCGCCACCTTTCTGGGCTCGACGTCGTCGACCGCAGCGGAGCGCAAGCGAGCGCAGCACGCGCTCCGAGAGCGAACGATCGAGCACCTCCCGGATGGATGGATGCTTCATTCACCAGCTGCAGCAGCAGCAGCAGCTCCAGTAGTGATAGTGATAGTGATAGTAGTGGTAGCGTAGCAGCCAGGCCCCGACCGATCTCTCAGCAGCAGCAGCAGCAGCAGCTTCTGGTCTTCCGATCGTCCAGGGCTCTCCCTTTCACAGCCGCCGCGCGCTCTCTCAGGCTCTCGTCGTCTGCTCGTCTCTTGGTCCGACCAACTACCGCTTGCATCCATGTATATCCGGCGGTGGTAAGTTCACCAAGATGAGCAATAATTCACGATAAATCCATTCGGCTCTACTCTACACGCAGCCTAATGATCCGGAATGCATAATTAACCCCCCCGATCCACTCCGAGTCCTCTCCCAAATCCAAACAAGTCTCTCTTCCTTTCTCTCTCCCCAGCAAATCGGCAGGTTCTATCACCTAACATGTCGTCTCACGAGCTCGCGGGTCATAGCGGAAGGAAGAAAATGCAGCGAGCTACCAATCTGCCGCTGTCACCAACTTCCAGATGCTGTGCTGCGCTTGATTATCCAGTCATTGTTTCACTGGTGGCTGGGGGTGGGGCAACGCGAGGCGAGGGGGAGGGGGAAGGGGAGGTGGGGCTGGGGCTGGGATTGGAATGGAAGGGGGGTAATGGGGGAATTCCGGCATCTACCACGACGACGACGACGACGACGAACGACTTTCTCGAGCTCGCTTTGCTTGTTCGCTTGCTTGCTCGCCGGGGCGTCGCTCGGGCTTCTCCTTTGTCTTTATCTGCGGGGGATGGCCGGGGGGTGGGGCAGATTCTCATGAGCCCCGCACGACTGCGCTCTGTCTGGACTCGGGGACTGCCATCTTATCGGGGGGCAACACTTGGGGGCTAATTTAGCACCACGACCACCCGAGCCTCTAGCTTTGGTGGCTCTGGTCGAGACGGCGTCGCCAAATGATTGGCCTCGTTTTGGCGACCGTGTGCGTCGGCTCCTTCCCTCCTCGCCGCGTCTACAGTGCGTCTTTGTCGAGGAGCTTCGCTTCCCCAGCCAATAAAGTAAAGCCACGTATTCATCCGTCACTCGCCCATGTTCGCGACTTTCAGTTCTGACCTCGCGACTCGGAAGAGGCGCTTCTTTCTTTATTTCTTTCTCTCTCTCTCTCTCTCTTTTGTTCTTATATTCCGTCATGCAATCGCGACACGTGCTACGTACAGGGACAGGTATGCTCATAGTAGAACTTTACTCCAGCCGTTTAATTATTCTCAATCACCAAAAAAGAAGAAGAGTTTTTTACAGTGTGTATAACTCATATACAACTATTATATTATTTCATATACATAACACTATGAATAATATTGATTTAATGTAGATATTATCTTTTGAGGGAAATTATTCAGCTTTAAGAGCAAAGTCATGTTTTTATTCTCGTGACGTGGCCGTTCAGTTTGTTTTCCCCCATCAACTTTGGAGACATAAAGTAAAGAATTTCCTGTTGGTGGACAAAATGTGCTCTCTGCAGTGGAGAACGATGTCTGGGACTGATGTAAGAGCAAGAGATGAAGTCAATGAAATCTGCGGATCTGCGTAAAATAGCCTTTTGGTTCTCGTATATATTTGGTGAGCCGGACATCATGACACTGTGTGCTTGTGTCTGATTCAGGCATGACACTCCACATAATTAGGCCTCCCTCGTTTGCAAGAGGGTGTACGTGGCCGCATAGTGGCATGAACTGACCGAAGTGATCGGTTACGAGCTTTGGGTTCGCAAATTCTTTTGTTTGATCTGTTTTCAGGGGCGTAAGTTCTCCAAGAATCTTGTGCTTGAACAGTCCGATCCTTATTGATTCATAAATCCCTTTAAATTTCCTCGACATCTGTGTCTTGCAGGGTTCGTGTGCGTTAGAGAGATATCGGTGGCCTAATCTTTGACACTCTTCCCAAATTCCGAACGCCTGCTCTTGTGGAAACGTAGACGAGAAGGAATTTCTGCAGGCCGACATTGATGCCTGATTGATGCCCGATAATACAGAAAACAGAATGCATCTGAATTTGGGCCCGAGAGTTCCTTCCAGACTGCCACCCACCAAACTTCTTTGTCTTTCCAGGTTTCGTAGCTGGAGCTCTCCGTGAGAGGTGGAATGGCAACTCATCAGAACGAGTGGTACAAACCGAATAATGCTTACGCAGTTCGAAGCATGAGGCGTCGCAACTTTTTTGATTACAGCCGGCAACAGAGAGGAAAGCCGTATCGAAATGAATTCGAACACTTGACGAGGCGAAAGTCTCTCTCTCTCTCTTGGAACATCGAGGATCAACAGACGTCTTGCAGTCCAGAAACTATGGGGCTGCCCCATCATGCTGAACACAAATCAGAAGTGCTTGGAGAAATGCGAGTCCTCAAAGGACAAGAATAGAAAGCTGCATGCCGAATTATTCTGAAATGTCCAGTTTCGCTGCAAGGATAAGACGAGCTGTAAAACTCTGAGCTGTCTCTAACATTTTCCTGCCCTCTATTTTATCCAACCTCGAACCGCTACAACTCGTCGAAGCACAGAACGAGGCTGTCGATTATAGTAAAGGCCAGAGTTTCACATTACTGTCTTACATCCCTTTGGGCTACAGCTCAGATGTTTCACACTCTTTCTGAGGTGACCATGGGACTCGAAAAAGAAACATGAGTTCCGATTATATAATCATAAAGCTAAAAGCCAAGAATTCATGCAAGGAAATGGGACAGCAATTTCACCGTTGTCTCTATAAAATAAAGCTCGTCAACTTTAGCTCACAGTAACCACACAATAGAGTCTGCGTCGATGCAAGTTAGCGTCGATCACTCTAATCTTGGCTCAGACTTCTTCACCGGCAGAGGACACTTTTTACTGATAAGATTTCAGATAGCCCTCGGAATGCCTCCCACTGAAACGAGACTGACACATGTTAAGAATCAATATTCAACACTGAAGGGGAGTTTATCGACATAGTCAGTAGTTGAAAATATCAATTACTGTAGTCGAAAATTGTCAATATAATCTCACTAGATTATAACAAAAAGTATATATCTGTAAGATTTTAAAGCTTGTGTCTGTTCCTTCGATGTCGATAGATTTTTCTATGTACAGTCCGATTTGGTCGGCTTTACAATTATACCCGAGTTATGTGTGGAGCTCATCAACAGTCTATGAGTGTACAATCTAAACAACACTAATGTGTGTGATACATTCCAATTCTAACAATTGTTATAAATTATTGCTGGACCTTGACATTTAGACGGCCATACATGCATGAATTTGAGCTAGAAGAATGGAGATGGATGACACAAGAGGATTTCCCGGCAGACCGGGTGGTAAAGGGAAAATTCCCGATGGCTGTGTAATCAATCGATCAGTCGATTCGATTGGCCCGAGTTGCCATCGCCAGTGGGCTGGGATGCGCTGAACTCCTGTTGTCCAGCTTCGCCTTTTTCGTCTCGTACAGTTGGATGGGGCTCGCACTGCCCCAATCTCGAGGTGTGACGTCTGCTCGATCCCGAATTTAGTCATGTCGCACGCAAGCATTCTGCACCTTCATCTCGTAGAGCTCTCACGTGCAGTGTTTCATGTTAGACCCATCTCCGGAATCGGCATTTCGGAATTTGCGCCAATCCGACTTCCAATCTCACACGCCTCAATTCCTCGAATGTCAGCCCTCGACCCGCCGGTCAGTGTTGTATCCGAGACGCAATTTTCATTTGCGAGTCATTATTATTTATTAACGGAGCGGCTAGATATCTTCACATTAGTATAACCAGTTTTCTTATTGTTCGATATAGTGTACACAATTCTCTTCTTATCAACTAGTCAAATAAAAACATGTACTAGAGTGAGGACTAATTAACGCTAAGTGAATGATAACTAAACGAGATAATTTCTTGATGGTACCTCTTGTAAATTCAAATTACTTATGGAATCTATAGGTTTCATTTTACTAGATGGTACACTCTGGACGGCATACCGTCAAAGATATTACAAACTACAAATTACACCATAGTGGATCATTCGTTGGGAGGTGAGTACTGTTGGCTTGAAAGGCTAGCTGCAACTTTTTTAATAGATCACACAGAACACACAAGAGAACAACCTATTCGGCCTTGTTGCAACTTGTTCAACACATCACACAAAACAAAGAAGATAACAAATTGTTCGGCCCTGCTGCAACATGTTCAATACATCACAGAGAACATACAAGAGAACAACAGAACACACACGAACAAACTTATTGTGGTGCAGTGTAGTACTGACGGTCATAC